GACGTCACCGACTGCTGTATTTTTTTTGCCAGAATCACGTCCCAATTCTTGTATTTTTTTTACCGAAATCCTCGTCGCCAATTTGTTATGACTTGATCAAGGTCGTCGCTGATTCGTTATGACCTTACGAATTTAACAAGGACGTAATTCTCGTAAATGATCCACCGATAGAATACGCCTTCTACGACCTTCACACTGTGACAATGACGTTCGATTAATATGAGTAATCTAGCGTCCTTATCCGCCTAACCCGTCCACTTGAGTCCAAAACACCAATAGCAGCTGCTGTAATGCGAATCGTTTATTTCAAGCATACTTTATCTATATACCAGACAGGCAGACCACACCACACCATAAAATAGAAAATAATATTTGTACAAAACCAGGCCAAATGAAGCTGTAAGCGTGGGAGACAATAATCAATAAAACTGAGCATAACGTAGGGACAGTAAATCATATAGTAATAATCAATAGGTCAAAACGAACCTAGTAATAAGATGAATATAGATATAGATAATCCAGTTACTGAATAGTTATACCATAGGAATATAAATAGATTAATAGTCTAATAAGAGGTCCCGTAAGTTATCAGTACTTACTTTTTCCTAGTATATAACAATAAGAAATTGGTGTATGATCTGAAGGCAATTTTTCTAGTGAGGTTATTTAACTTTATAATTTGTGAAACTAAATCGCAGCTTAAGGTCTATGTGATGAAGGCCAACTGTTTAAAGTGAGACGAAAGAAATAATTAAAGCACTAATATATGAACAGAGTAATATTTTTCAGTAAATTTTCTTTGGGTTCTACATTTTCATATCTAAATTAATAATTCAAAGAGTGACCACGTTTAAGAGAAGTACATCATTTAAAATCATAGCACGTGAATTTGGGATTGTTCGCAAAACGAAATAAAAATCACAGGGGAACTTAAAGAGGATTTATTCGGAAGAATATCCATCATTCATATATTAGTATTTTAATATGATGGGGATTTTTAAACGAAATGGTTTAACTAGTAGTCGCTGAGCTCTATTGACATATTACTATTGAATATCAGACTTGTAAAGTTTTCCGGATTGTGATTCCAAAGGCATCTCATACTGTTTTCCTATTCATATGTTTAAACATGTTTTTCGTCTTCGTATATGTGGGCGCGTTACCATACAGTTAGGCATTTCTCGAAAAAGTAACCTAGACTAAAGGTCGTAACTTAAACAGTCAACAAAATGAATCTTACATTTTCATGAAACACAATTGATAGTACAGCATATCTTCAAATAACTAAGTATTGTTTTATATTAACATGATAACTATAAAAAACTTTGATCCAAAGAAAAAACCCAGTAAACTCAGTAAGATGTGATTTGCCATTCGTACTTTTCACACGGGTTTACTTTTTAAATGAAGTGGAGATTCTATTTGATGCTTGATCAATAAACTCTTCATAATCAGATCATAGTAGTGTAGTGAACAGAACCGTTTCTTCTCTAATTTAATTGTTCATGCAATTTCCTACCGATTGCGCTTCGTTTCAGTTCTTTCCTCATCGGTCTTCTGCCAAAATACATTCTATGTCTGACGAACACAATATACTACTTATGTGGATATAAGTAGACCACACCACAGTAGTACATCTTTGTTGAACAACCAGTCACAAGTGCGACGCCTCTTCCGTCGACCAAGGAAGCACAAAACAAAAAGATTGAAATGTCCAGATTGCCCAAAAAATCGGATCATTTAAAAAGTCACAAAAATGACAATACACAAGCCAGATCTGCTTGAAATAAGTAAAACTACATGTACACAACCCGGACAGAAAACGTTTCAGCTTAGAATTGTTGTATTCTGGTCATAAGGAAGAAAGCGCCACACATACACAACGAGTTGCCCCCAAATGCTCTGGTACGGCAGAGGGTGGGGAGAGTCAACTCTCCCTCTCGAAATACAGGTGGACAGAGCGCACTGAATAGACCGGCAGTAGTTGGACCAGACGGTGTACCAGACGAAGTACTGGAGTCAAATATAGCAGCAACTGAAAAGATGTTCCATGTTCTATTTAGGAAGATTTGAGAAGAAAGGATACCTCGTCAAAGAACCGAAGAAAGGAAATCTTCGTGGATGTGAGAACTACAGGTAAACCACATTGTCAGTCTCAGACAAAATTCCAAAGTGTTGCTAAACCGAATGAAATCTTCAATGGACATCCAACTTCGAAATCAAGAAACAGTACAAAGGGCACCGGATACATATGCGCCACACAAAATAATGAGAATGAGAGAAGAAGGAAGATGTGTATATATAAAGGAAGGAAAAAAAAAGGAGAAGAGTAATGATGGGGGGAACTGAAATGTACAACCAGAAGAGCTCTCTCAGTTAGGAAAGTTATAGCCACTCTTTATGAAGAAAGTAAAAGAAGGTTACAGCAGGCACGCCACTGGCTTCTATTCTAAGCAATATCTGATTACGTTTCTAGCCACTGTGTTGCACCATCTCTAAAACCCCAACCAGGGAGTCGTGAAGAACCAACAGAAGCTAGCCCTTTGCAGCTTTCTTTCATACCACGACACCATGTCATACACTGACCTCCTCTCCGCTTTTTCCAACCAGTCCCAGAGTCGGCAAATAATGCACGACGTGGAAGCCTCTGGGACGACATTCGTAAAACATGTCCAAGCCACCGAAGTCGGTGTTTCAAGATGGTGACACCAATTGAATTATCGTCTCTGCGCCCGAGCACACGATGCCGAACCTCTGCATTACTAACATGGTGTTGCCACTGAATGTCAGCAATTCTTCGGAGACAACGATGATCGAACACAGAGAGACGTCTAACATCCTCAACTCGGAGAGGCCAGGTTTCACAAGCATAGAGCAAAACTGCTCTCACCGACGCGTTGTAGACCCGACCTTTTACAACCAGACTAACATCACGAAGGCGCAGATTGGCATAAGCCGCTCTGACTTTCATTATAGGCTAATTAATATCATCACTCACGCCACCACCAGCACTTATGTAGCTACCTAGATACACGAACTTCTCAACTACTTCAATCTGCTCAGCATCTAGGGTGAGTACAGGATGGGAATCCTGCCAGTCTTGTAGAAGCACTTTCCACTTCGAAGGTGCGAAACACATACCGTACCTATGGACACTGATTGCCAACTGATTAAGTGCTGATTGCATGGCTTGGGCATTATCGCACAGTAAGACAATATCATCCGCATACTCGAGGTCGAGAAGTCTTTCTCCAGGCAGCAGATCCACACCATCATTACTTACATCCATCAGAGCTGTTTCCAGGATGTCGTCGATGGCAAAGTTGAAGAGGAATGGTGAGATTGGGAAACCCTGCCTAACCCCACTGCTCGGATGAAACAAGGGAGAGAGGTGGTTGTATGCCCTCACTCTGCCTCAGGTGTTCGTATACAGGGCCTTTAAGATATAAATGAACTTCTCAGGCACACCCTTCTTCAATAGACAATCCCAGAGAACCGTCCTGTCCAACGAATCGAAGGCAGCCCTGATATCAAGAAACACTACGATTGTTGGCCTGCGATAAGTATGACGGTGATCTAACATTTGGCGGAGGGTGAAGATGTGATCAATGCATCCTCGACCAGAACGAAAACCAGCCTGCTCCTCGCGAGTCAATCGTTCTCGGGTTTTAAACAACCTACGAAGAATGATAGAAGCCAATAGTTTAGACGCAATCGGAAGTAGACCTATCCCCCGATAGTTATTACAGGAACAACGTGAACCCTTTTTAATGTAAAGTAGGCCTAGATATTTACAAGGGAAGAAGAACTTTAGTCGCAAGTCTGTAGGTGATATCTCAGTCAATCTGATATACCTTCCCAAAACAGTTTAGGGGTTAATCCATTAGAGCCTGCAGATTTCGTTCGATCGAAATCAGATATGACTTTTTCTACTTCATTTAGTCGGGGAGATTATGTCGATATCCTATTTAGGTTTCTTGGTAAAAGTACGCAACTAAAGGCTAGGTGGAGAGCATTTAAATCATTGCTTTAACTTTTCATCAGTCTATGTTTAAGTTGTCTTCGCTCCGTATCGCGTTCGGATCCTGATGGGACGTTTCTAAGTATCTATTAGTTCAATACAAAAATGGAAAATATTTAAATAAGTGTGCCAGTGAGCGGCGTGAATAATTAAAGGCTTAGTATAAAATATATTATAACATAGTAACAGCTGAGTTAGATCCTCAGGTTACTAACACTGTCCTTTATGTCTCATTAGTTAGATGTGAGTAATATTAACTCTGAAAGACTGTCTGCTGCTGAGATTAAGGAAAACAGTATAACGGGAAGCTGATGCGGAGTTAATCCGTAATTCACTGCGTCCGTATGTATACAACTTCAGCAACCATGTGTTCAGTAGTGACTAGCTTCAAGAGGTGGTTCCCGGAGTATAGAGAGGAGCAGTGACCGATGGAACCAACCACGTCACGAGTAGCTGCAATGCAAAACCGTTGCAGGACATTGTAAATTGGCTGAAGTTAGACATGTAAACCATTGGACGTCGGCTCAGTGAATTAAAGTTTAAGGGCTCATTACGATCCTCGAAGGTCCTGGGTCCCAAACCCAATGTCGTAGATGCACACTTCTGAGTCACATACCATATCATATAGAATCAAAACAATAATTAAATTACTGGAGTTTTGTCAACAGTATTTATGTAACTTAACATCTTTAGTTCAAAATATACACCTGATAATAAAAAGGTGTTATTGAAATAGGAGTTTTTAACGGTCATAGTAAGCATTTATGTGTCATATAGAATTCTTTATGTAGTGAAAGTTAAATATGTTCGAAACTCTCTATTATTGACTTATTTACGCGATAAGTTTCCATGTGAGTTGAGGGAAATTTTTGGTTACTAAAACTGTTTGCCCTTATTTAATTTTCCACCAATTGAACATATAATCCTTACTAATTTCTAACTCAATTTTAACATTTCACCTATATTTTGTTAAATTTAGAGCGTACAACTGCACTGGAATTAATAGACAAGCTCTATCGTGAGGCAAACGAAAAAGATCACCTAACTGATACTCAGTTTCAAGACGTTATGAAACGAGTTAAGAAGTGAGCTAGCTTCTGATATTTTTTGACTAGAAAACAAGAGTAGAAGTAACATATATACATTAACAATGTCATTGTGAATAACAGCAAACACCTTCCTAGCATTCAACCTAAACAAATTATAGGTTAAATAATATGTTGGTTTATGGATAGCCGAAATGTTGTTAAGAGATTGAATTAGAGTCCAATTAATTTAACAATTTCAATACTGTCGTCCTCATACTCTCAAATATCTAACCAAATGCTAATATGTGCTTATCAGTTATGACAATGATTTCTTAATATTTCTTTATATATCTTATCCAGTTCCTTAAAAACAAAATGACTTGATCGATTCGTTCCAGACAGGATGAGTAGAACAGTGTACAGTCCAAAACAATAAAACACCGGCAAACATATCTGATAATTTTATGCAATAACATACCATATATATTAGCTAAATGACACTTCAAATTAACCTTAAGAACCTGGAGCAAGGGTCTGAAAGAAACACTTCTATGAAGATGGCTGATAAAACTCAGTTATGACTAGTAAGAGATTAAACCGTAAAAGTAATTTACAGTAAACATCTGTCAATATGTTGTGATTAGCGAAAATGCAAACAGGTGCTCGCACGATGTTGTGGATGGGTCGGCGATTCTATTAACTCTCCAAGTCTTCATACACAAGTACTAATTTCCAGAGTGATTTTAATCTCTATAACTTAAATCCTAATTAAGTATAATTGATATGTTAGCCAAGGCCGTACAGATCATATACTGTCTTAAGGCTATATGGTAAGAAAGAGATCCAAATATGGGCTTTTACCTAGATATCTCTCTTTGGGCTAGTCCGGACATATTGTTTACGACAGTTACAAGCAATATTATTTATCTTTGGCAACAAAGTTCGTCTTGCAGTCATTGCTTTCTCTCATTGCATAGTGGATTAGTAGCTGAGTCGGACTTGCGAACATAACAGTAATATTGCTGTATTACAGGTTACCACGTTGGTCTGAACTGATATGATATACATTTGAATAATGTGAGTATTGTCGTTAGTACAGTGTTAGCGGGACATAGATTGGATTAAAGCATGTTTCATGCATGATGGTGTTGCTGCGCGCTGATTGGCTGATTCTAAAACGATCAGCCCGGGCAAATTATTGGAGAAAAATCTAGAAGCTTCTTATGTATATACTATAAATATATGAACGTTATTCAAACTAGTGATTGCTGTTCACATACTATTATTATTTTGAATACAATTTCATTCCTGTTCAACGTGTTCTGATTTCGGGGTCTTGTTGAGTGTCATCGTATAAGAATACTAAGCAATAGGAATAGCTGGGTCGTTTATTAGCAAAATACAATTATAACATACAGAATGGTCAGAACAACAAAACCAGATAAAAATGGTAAGTTCAAATTAAAAATCCACTTTGTGAACAAACTTATTTGATGACTTATGGGACCGTTATAAAAGAACGTCAATTTCTATAGATTTTCCTTCAATAACAATTCTTATTTAATTTCGCCTCCTTAATAAAAATAAAGCAGTGGTTTTTTTATGATTTGTTATTACTTTCACAGTTTAGTAAGACTGTTACACAACAATCACACTATATATGAAGTTCGTTTTTATTATTTGTGGAAAGTAATCTCATTTTTCACACTAGGAAAATCACTTCTGCTCTAATTATCTAATATTTTGTAGCGAGTTCAAGAAAATTTAGTTTAAGAATAAACTGAAAATACTCTTGTTAATCAAAACGATTTTTTTCAACTTAAGTTTGACCAGAAACTATTTTAATTACATGGGGAATAAAGGCATTAATCTACATGACAAGAGAACATAGATTCTGAATTTTTGAGGCCTGATAAAAGATAATCATATTACAGGATACAAAATATTCACTTGGTTCTTAGTCCTTACATTCAAGTATTTTTAACTAGGTACATTTTCATAATACAGAGATAATGCTCTTCTTCGTTTAAATTTAAATATTTTGAGCAGCATTAACTGGGATCAAAACAAGACATCACACCCTGTATTTTCTCGAAGCGATGGTTCAACGCATTTCAAGTATTTAGATCTACTGTCTCAGCAAGAAAGAAGGAACCATTGGATGTATTGCAGTTGGCATCACTTACCTCCTTATAAAATATCAAGTACGGCTAAATACGACTACCCTGGATCACATTACTTACATTTATTGGAAAGACAACCAAAAGAATATGTTATTCATCCTGACTTAGGTTAAAGATGAGAAGATAAATACTTAAAATTTCACATTTTCAAAAGAGGGTTCCAAAGTTGTAGAATAGATCTGTAAAATGATTTGTTGATGTTGGATATTAATGTATTTACATAGTATCAAATTGAAGACTCCCATTAGAAGCGTGAAAATGTTTTTACCATGGAGATATTCTAGTCATATACTGTCGTGTAATTTAAATATCAAAATATAAAACGAATTACGTTTATTTGCTTTTATAAAATATTTATCTTCCTTATTACAGACGACATGATTTTATACTCATATCACACACAAGCATACTACGGGATATTGACATGTTTAAAATGATGTGTTGTTCGTTAGGAAAATTTGTCTATAAACATTAGAAAACTGTCTTAATAAAATATACGAAGTTCAAATCTACTAATGGGATTTTCACATAACCAATGATATTTTATGGGAAGGAATCGAATATCAGCTGGTTAACGGGAACAGTAACAATCTCCAAATGAACATTAGTTTGTACATTTTCCTCTCTTAAAAAGTTCACTTTTTATTTGAAAACTAAATTAAATATGAACCTATTGTCTTTATAAGACGCAAATCAGTGAGAGCTACAAAAGTCGGTATTCACAAGTGAAAGAGGTTACTGAGGAGTGCAATTACTTTTAAAGAGATAGTTTTAAGAAACTATACAAGTTTTATGTATACAACCTAAAGAAAATCAACTGACAACTATATCACTTGAGAGTAATTATGCCAATTAGCACCTGGATGTATAACCTTGATTTCAAAGGTAGTGCAATCGTATTGGTAAATGCGGATTCAATTCAAAAACACCAGTGATCAAAGTAGTTTCCCATCAGCTATGTCAATATTATACATTTTCTTTTATTTAACTCTAATATCATTATTCTGGCTGTGTACCCATCTATGGAAGTGTGAGCGAAGCGGTAATTAGGAATATATATATATAATGTACAAACCAACTTTATTCATATAAGTACAAATGAAATATCAATTAAGTTGAAATTTTGCATGATTGTCTAGTTTAATAAAAATAATAACTGTTTGAGCGAGTCAGTATGTAGGAAAGTTGGGATCGATCTCCAGTGCCCATGCAGAAAGACCTCCAGCAACATCACAAACTATAAATTCACTAGGATTTGATTCAGTATTAAAACTGTTTAACTCTTCTTGTATCGAATGATTAATTTTACCATTTAGATCATGGTCAGAATTCGAACATCGGAGAGATAATAGTGCGCTTTTCAAAAGTGGTGCAGCTTCTGCCGACTTATTACCACGATAACACAAGAGAATTACTGAAATCACAGAAAGAATGATAAACAAAGAGGAAGGAAACTTTAAACAAGGAGTCAAATTGAACAACATTTGTTGACATGGTTTTATGATCAAAATAGAGTTATAGTTAAGATGAGGTATTTGAAATCCTTTTAATTTCAATACTTTATCGTATCTATGACGGTTTGAGTAGACATCAGCGTGAGATCTAACACTACGCAATTCCTTTTTTTCTTTGAAAAAAATCAATTAAAGTTAACACTGAAGTGGACGACATTTCAACGGTCATCGGACAAAAGCCTGGGAAATTTAGAGTAGACCAGTGTGTTTCTGATTATCCGTAGATTACTACATGAATGTGTCACTGCCACTTTGCATAAAGATTGAAAATAAGGTTGAATCTAAGTACAACATGGATCTAATCAATCGAAATGTCCGTTTGTAGACAGGTGAGAGCCTCGAATTAACGACTGATATAAACTTATTGATGGGATAATCAATAAAAGTCATCTGCGGACAAACGAAAAGATATGTAACGGTTAAACCTTACTAATGATGAAGCTAATAATGATCTATTTTAAAATTGAATTCAGTAAGTTTACAACGTAATCGTATTAGTCAAAACCAATACATACCAGGAAAAGGTAGAGTAGCTCCTTTGGTAATTTGGGTATCAATCATTTGTCGAATTTCTGATATGACTGAATCACGAAAAAGTTCACTTACGGGTACATCTACAAAAAAATTAGTATTTATCATATATTATTCACCGATAGATAATAAGTTAAATCATTAGAAATCAATTAGTTATTATAATAATCCCTAGACTGGAATCTTTACTGAAGGGAAAGGAAATTATCAGTAAATCGTAACGTTATATGGACGTCAGGAAGATACTCTGTATAGAAAATGTATTGTATTGTAATTACATGTTGAGTACTAAAGACTATTAGCAGGTTCAACAGTTCATATCAAACTTAATTTCATGAGATTAAAACATTCAAGATTTGATGATTAAGTAGCCAGGTGCGTTATGTCTATTATCAAGTCATGAAATACACCATAGTGAGTATTTACATCTCGCCAGAAAAAAACCGATATCTGCAGGCAAGTTACAATCATAGATAATGAGTGATTAGATTTTATGTGAATTCGGGGACACAAAAAATTAATTCTTGTGGTATTTTTAATATTTTTAACAGTTGACTTCATGAGTCGTTCTAAGCTAGACCACTATTGCAAACCTTGAAGTACTGGACGGCCATATTTTTAATAAATGAATGGGATACATCGCGCAACCAAATCGTTTGTACAAAAACTACAAAATTTATATGATATACGAATGTAACTTACGCATAGATGACTTTAGATGACATATGTCGAATTCAGTTTTCGGACGAACATCGATAAGTAAATATGGCAATTGAGAGTCAATGTAGCCTTTTAATTGCTAAAGGAAAAAAAGGTTAGATACAAAATGGTGTTGCATTTACTTGAACAGTAATACGGTGATTGTCCATTCTCATATTCATATTGCGCGGCTGCAAATAAAAAACAGTGCGATAGACAAGACTTTTATACGCAGAATTTCGATATCAAATTGTTTCTCGATTAATATTGAAATTCGATGTGTAAATAAAAAAAATGGTTGTTGGAATATACTACTCAACGAGAAAAAACATACATTATAAACAAACATTTGAAAACGATCAAAACCCATCAATATAACAGGGACTAGACTAACTTTAATTTTGGTACCTGAATAAAACAAGATAGAAATATTTATAATCATTGAATTCTGAACAAACTTGTTGAGAATGTAGATTGTGAATGTAAGAGCAGTGGTACGAGTAATTAACTTCAATTTTGCGCAAATTACGTTTCGCTGAGCTGATGGTATAATAGTTATACTATCCAACGTTTAAAGCTTCAATTAAGTGAAGGTTTTGAAATCTAATCACCATTTGCTTTTATATGAAAAAGCACCAAAGAAATTTGATCCAAAAAAAGAGAGCTACGATTCGAGAAGTGCTTCAATGATTTGGTTAGAATTGTGTGGAAATCTGTAGGCTTTGGTAATGGTATAATAAAAATGTTGGCTGACAGGTACACATCACATGCTGGAGGAATCGAGATATTAAATATTCAGACATGTCAGACTAATGTAGGCGATTTAAGTCATTTTTTATATTTAGTGATTTAAAATTGTTGATAACGCTTTTTTCGGTGAACTGTTAAGGGCTGTGTCATTTTAACTTGCAGTCAATTTTCAAAATAGGTAACACGTTCTCTTACAATCATCCTTTAGTAAGATAATTAACGATAACTTACTATGTGGAATTTAAACCACATATTATATAATAATAAAATGATAAATACCTTGTCACAACTGGGTGTTCCACAGAATAAAACATAATTAGTTAAAGGTCTGTCTACACTGTTTTTCACTGCATCATTTCCACAGACAGGACAATCTGGTCGAGGTTCCCTTAATTTTACTGAACGAGTCAAATTACGCTCAACATCCAAAAGAAATAGTCTACCCGTGTGAACATCTAAAAAGAATTTTGATAGACAAAAAATTAAAATAATCTAAATCATCAGAAAGTATGCTAAAATATATCTTAATAATATACTTCAATTGACTATAATTTTGAATCATCGATAAAAAACATATCGTATCAGAAAATTCATATCCACGATATGCGTTAAAAATTCACAATGTAGTGTTACTGTTATAACGCTTAGTTTTCCCGTCTACACGAATGAGACGTTAATTTACCTTAGACAAATATTTACACTAGACACAGAACATCAATACAACTCAGATCCAGAACACGTGACTGATTAGAACGTAAGTACATTTCCACTCCAAAAGCCGAAAACAACAATAATAATAAGGGTAGGGAAATATATAACTCATCTAATACCCATCAAACTATCTACTAGTCTGACTAAGCAAACAATCAATCATTATTTTCCTCGCCCACACATTAATTATCTTTTTAAACCGTATTAATGTAATGGCAATGGCTAGATGAAAAGTAAAAACATCAATTATCAATAGCTTACATTATATGTTTACCTAAATGAAGTACAGTGTTGTATATAATAGATGAGATTTTCTTCAAAATTTTAAAATTAAAGTCTTGAAAGTATCAAGAAAATATTCATCCAGTGATAGCAAAGCAGGAGGTTTATGACTAAATGTGAAATTCTTAACTGCAGATTGTGGATTGGCTATAAATCGATTCTTGTGATCTATTCAAGTTCCATTTTTTCGATATATGTTAAATACGCTATTATATTCTGGTGACTGGTTCAGTTACAGTTCACGCTTCCCGACTCTTGCCCAACCAACTATGCTGAGTAAGAAGGATAAGAGTTTGTAGAAGTTGTATTGGTAAAGGCTTAATAAATTTGCATGTACGTTATGCGTATACATATGGTACCGAACTAAAGCAGATAGAGATATGTGGGCAGTGACCTTGACCATAGAAATAATCCACTTAAACTAAGCTCAGTCGCTCACACTTTCATCTATCATTTATCGTGTTTCCTTGAGACTTATTTGATCTGGCTTTGTAAAAACACATAGCATGTTTGGACTTGCTTGAGCCGAAGAATTATATAGTTTTCTCTACGTTCTTCATCTTTTCTATGCTAACTCACATTCACAAAGAACAGACGTGCTTATTAGTAAACAATTTATTTAGAGAAAAGGGGCTATACGAAGAACTTCAAATTCGAGATCTGGGAACTGCAAAGAAGTTTAGGGACGGTCGTCATGAAAACCCAGCACATTAAGATTGTTGAATATGATTATATACCCATGAAATCCGGTGGTAAAACTAAAGCATGTGAACGAAATAATTAGGTAGTCAACAATGACTGTAAAGAATGAAGTTACAGAAAGCTGAGAAGAATGAACATAGGTTTACTATGTATAAAATAAAACCGAAAATATACCAGTTACGAAATCCTAAGTATCCAGGTGAAATAATCGTTATAGCTGAGTAAAATATCAAGCCGGAAATAGGATGGGACTATGCAGTGAGTGACTTTCTGAGATGGGGCAAGGTTGTAAATTAGATCGCAAAGCTTCCTTTAAGGTTAAAATGTTTATTCCCAAATAAACAACGAAATAAGTGATAGATGATTTTTCGTTGTAATACTATGCTTAGATTAGATATCGAAGTTTAATTATTTTCCAAGCATATACACGAGATTTTAATTTAGATATTAGACTACATGAGCATTTACAAGAGTACCGAACGCTACAATGGGAGTACAAATTGAGTTAAAGCTTTCATCCAATCCAAGTGAACTCAATCAATAATTTGATTTTCATTTTATATTAGATGATGTTAATTACTGTGCTTGTTGAATTATCGAACTATATCACCACTTATTTCTTTAAACGTTTATCCTAGTTGCGATGAACTGTACTTCTATTTTTAAAAAAGCTTGTAAACTCATTGGAAAGAAAAATATCAACTACGCACAAACTGGTTAACTAGTATAAACTACCAAGTTGATTAACAGCACAAAATCTCTTTTACAGTAAAAACATACTAAAACTAGACAACTTGTAGCTAGGTGATCATGAATAATATAAAATAAATTACTGAGCTCTTTTCTATTGTTTTCTAGTCAAAGCATTCAAAAGTGAGCAATGCAGGCGCTAGTCAATTACTAACGTCTCGGAAACATCCTTGAAGTCCCAAATGTGATGGCTTAGCTGTATAAGATGAATAATTAGGAGAGCAGCAAATAAATTCCAGATTTTATGAACCCAAAACTATCGAACTGGTTCATGTTTATTTTATTTTTAACGAGATCAAATCGGATTGTGTTGACCTGAGATTAGGGAGTTCTCGATAAAATAGGATAACGATTGTAACGAATTTAGAAAATGAAGGTCATCAGAATGAACCGTGTGTGGTATTAGAAACAAGTCAGAGTGAATCACTCTCTATGATTAAAGAACAATCTAGTTAGTATGTTTGAATTTACTCTTAACTGTATTCAGAGAAATATATTATAGTTATTATGTAAGATGCAATTTTTAGATAAACAACAAAACAGTAAATAATCTGCATAAGTTTACTTCAAATCTAACTGAATTAACATAAACTGACAGTGAAAAGAATTGTTTAAACATGGAAGGTTTAGATGCGAGATTATATGCTATCTCATGACTTTATGGTGAGAGATGAAAATTGGAAGGTTTTGTAAGTTATTTATCCGGACAAGGCCGCCACCTACATTTATTTTTTGGGTTAGTCTGAACATAAACGCATGAGTTTTGGGGATAGTAGCGCAGTCTTTGACAATAAGGCTTCCAACAAAGTCTTAGTTGGGTTGGTCGAGAGTTAGAAGTAGGTAATATTGACCGCAACTGATGGCAAGCAGACATGGGTAGTAATTTGATTACTTCATGGGAAAAAAAGTGTAGTGTAAGATGATAACTTGCATGAGTCTTACTGTAGAGCTTATAAAAACTCATTAGTGTATGTCAGCTCAGTTTGATTAAGTTATTTGAGTTGATAAACCAGAAGAATAAAAACGGTTTCATCATTGATGAAAAACTCTAAGCGAAGACGAAGAGTAGATGTTTAGTCTAATTAGGAAAAACTTAGAGACAAACTAAAACGACCAAAGGCCATTAGTTGTGAAAAATAACTAAAACTCACCACCAACACCAGTTAGTATTTTGATGACTTCAGCAGCCTGCATAGTGCCGATTATACCTGGAACTAAAATAATTCAGGATTAGCTAGCTCCATTCATAATATTGTAAATTATTGTATTAACTGGTCTAACCAAAAACGAAAAATTGGACTATATTAACTACTGAACGTTAAAATTATGAATTATCGAAAAGTGAGACAATTATTCAAATATTCTGGCCACTATTTCCATGACAGGTAAAAGCTAACGATCGACCGTCTTTTTTCTTTCGAGCAATTGTAGATTAAATACATGAAACTGAATAAACTGAAGAGAAAGCAACGTTAGGATACTTTAGATTCACCAAAGTTCCGATTTAAGAACCAACACAGTCAACGAAGTTCATTCGCTTCAAGCGCAAACTAATTAATCCCGTAATAGATTACATAATGTTGTGATTTAGAGAAAATATTTCAGAATTGGACACCAATGTTCAGCAGTCTGGTGATTCAGATAAAAATAATCCATTTGCATCGGCACAGGCAATAATTTAAAAATCCACACTTTGGTTACGAATAATGCTATGTGCGCTTAAGTTGCAACACCTGAATTGAGTGAAATGATGGCACGAGTTGTTATTTCAATTATGCACACTTTTATTTAATTTGGACGACATTAGTTGAGAAGATTTACAGTCGTTCAAATGAAAATTAGCACTAGTTTATGAAGTCATTTATGATTAAGCGAAACGGCAAAAGAATCATTGGTGGAGACCTTGGGGCGAGACTAAACCATACTGATGAGCCAATCAGCTTTCGCGGATTTTCAAGGTCACTGCGCTAAGATCGGTACCTGGTGCTTACGTACGGTCGGTTTACAACAGATTTTAGAGAAGACGTGATAATTCAGCATCTACAAGAGAAGTGATTATAAGATTTTGGCGCGAAATTCAATTATCCATTTGGATAAATATAGTTTTGGCATTATAGCTGATGTCAGTTCGTGATGAAAACCCCAAGTATAATTGCTAACCTTAACCATGAACTGTAAATCATAATTTGAATTCTTCACACAGGTTTATAACCCTCATTTAGTCTTAGTTATTATGTTGACACTCTCAGAGTCTCTCTAGCGTCGCTCGAAGGTCGTCCATAATTTATAGTCTCATCCTTAACCCTAAACCATACCAACATGCGAACAACAATGAAGCTATGTGGTCGAGGCTAAAAGAATTTTTGAGACCTTATCATGGCTCCAGAGACCGACTACTATGGAGCCACATGGATGAGTTCCTGTACCGGATGCACTATGATTTTAGAACTTCTGAACCTATATCTAACCTTGATAAGTTTTTGAGTCATGTAAAAGAACAGTATCCCCTTTAATTTTTGAGTTTTGTATAATATATTGTTACTGCATACTAACTGTCTTCTGATTGGCTAATATTTCTCAAGGTCATTTACGAATCGTTCAAAGGTCGTCAGTACAGTTTAGTCTCGCCGAAATCGGATGTCTTCATTTACATCTCAGATACTATAACGTCCGGTAAATAGAACAGATCCATTAAGCTCAGAGATCACAACTCCAACATCCTCATCCTGAGCTACAAATACTCTCTATCAGCTTAAAACAGATTTAAAGAGACAACTCTGTACAAATTTAAGCCTAAATCCAGCCAACATCTTTTTAGGTCAGCTTATTGATTTAATACACAGATACTGGTACAGTTAGGCACCAAAATATATATACGTCACATAAGTGAGGGGATGAGAATGTGGATAGATAAAGGAGAATAAATATAATTAAAAACATAGTATATGTTATATCCGAATGAAGAATAAATGAATGGACTAATAATTCTAAAAATTTGGATTTAGTTAGAAAATAATCACTTTTTTGACTTTAATTAGTAAAAAGCCTAGGAAATACGCACAAGAATATTCAAATTTAAATTGATAATTCTACCTCAATGAAGAAACTGTATTGAAGTTTTTAAAGAGTTGTAATTCACGTCTAGATGTTTTTAAGATGATAAATTAAATAATATATAACAGTGGTTAAATTATGAAATTCACGTAGAACTCACCTACCCCAAAAACACCAGCTTCTGAACAACCTTGAACACTACTTGCCGGTGGTGGAACAGGATAAAGGCAACGAAAACATGGAGCTCGATACTCAGCAGGAAGGTCACTTGAAGACAACACTTCCTCTGAGGAGAGAATTCGCTTGGTAAGATATACAGTCATTTGTCCTTCCAAACGTAAGGCGCTACCACTCACTAATGGTTTAGGTCCAGTTACTGCACAGGCTTCATTAATAAGGTAACGTGTTGCCAAGTTGTCTGAACAGTCTACAACTACATCATATCTATTGTTTGAGAAAAAAATCATTTGTCCACTGTAAAACATTTGGTACGAGTTTCAGCATAGAAAAATTTGGTGTGACGATAAGGGTGAGCTCTGCTTTATTAACTTTTATGGGTCTCAGTTCGAACTAGAAATGATGAGATTTAGGTGTGATTTCAATAGTTTATTTATCGACTGATAAATAAATTAGGTATACGCAATTCTTATCACTCAACTAAATTCATCAGAAAAACAGAATTCATTGTGTATTACAACGGAAGTTAACCAAATTGACAGTAATCGTATGATATAATTTGTTTCATTATAAGTTACACAAAAATTTAACAAAAATGATGGCCACAAATAAAAAGTAAACTTCTTAATATTGTTTACTAAACTTAACTAGCACGAGATTCAAGTCGAGAATTCCTCCCAAATACTTACAATAAGGTAGAATTTCAAGATCATAAATCTTCTTTGTTATTCTACTTACGTTTTTATAATATCAACTGCATTCATGTGATCCAAGTGAATTTCATGTGCTTGTATATTAACTTCTGAATTTAATCTGCATATAATATAATTACAATTTATAGACATACTCCATACATCTATTCGCAAGTGAATTAACTTTCAACATATTTATTGTCGATTCTGAATGTGCAACTTGACGATGAAGATTATTTAATTCAACTTTATCATCATCAACAAGACCAATTGTGCCTGTAAAACAATTGAGATATAAAAAACGATATATATATATATATATATATATATATATATATATATATCACGTCTTACGATCGGTAGTAAATTCTTAAACAGTTGATTGTTGACTGTTTATGATAAAAACCCACTCAGATATTTTTAACATTCAGAATTAGGGATTGTTTCTAGGATAAAATTCCCTAGTCAGTGGCTTATGCCCCACGAGGAAAACAGGTATAAGTAGTGTATTAAGTAAATTCAATACTAAAAATGTAATGTTTTCATGAAATGAAAACAATTTTTTCTTAGTTTTACAGTAATATACAACATATGTATGCAACACTAAATTTTTTTATAAGGCTATTGACAATACATTAGAAAATCGCTTGTTTCACATTTGGTTTGGGGATTATATGTGATATGAAGTTAACATTTTATACATGAGCCTTAGATTAACAAGACCAGTTAATAAAATGCATGAAAGTGATATCGAAAATTCATCATTGTAATTTACTATGTATTTCACTTCGTTCATTTCACAATGTGCTTCTGCTATTTATCAAACCCGTCAAGAATAAGAATACGAATTTGGGTTGTCACATGTAACGAAACTAAGTAAAAACTGGTCATTAAACTCCATTTTATTCAAGAGAGATCTCTCTACTTTGATTATTATACTTACGGAACTATTTCCCTCTTTTCATTAGTTTGTTAGAAATTGACTAATTGATCCAGATTTAAATGATTAGTTACGTACACCCGTTACCCCTCATGGAGAAGCATAGGCTGCTCATCATCCAACTCTGTCTTGGGCAATCCTTTCCAGTCGTTTCGAGTTGCTATTCATCCTTTTCATGTCTGCTTTCAATTCTTGACGCAGTGTGTTCTTGGCCTTCCTCTTTTTCGTGTCTCTTCAGGATTCCAAGTTAGAGCTTGCTTCGTGATGCAGTTTGATGGTTTCTCTAATGTATATCCTATCCACTTCCAAGGTCTTTTCCGAATTTCCTCCCCAGCTAGAAGTTGGTTTGTTTTCTCCCACAATAGGTTGCTGCTGATGGTATCCAGTCAACGGACATCCAGTATTTTACGTGGAGAACTGTTTGTAAATACTTGTACGTTTTTGATGATGGTCGTAGTAGTTCTCCACGTTTCAGCTGCGTACAGTAGAACTGTCGTGACGTTAGTATTGAAGATGTTGGCTGACAGTTGTTTTGAGTGCCATATATTCCTCAACTGTAGAAATGTTGTCCTTGCTTTGCCGATCCTCGCCTTTACATCTGCATCCGATCCTCCACTTTCATCGACGATGCTGACCAGGTACGTGAAAGTTCCCACATCTTCCCGAGCTTCTCCATCAAGTGTGATTGTGTTGGTGTTCTCTGCGTTGTATTTCAGGATCTTACTTTTTTCCTTGTGTATGTTGAGGCCTACTGATGCAGCGGCTTTTGATACATTGGTTGTTTTTATCTGCATTTGTTAGTGTGTATGGGATAGAAGGGTCAGGTCATTTGTGAAGTCCAAATTGTCTAGTTACGTCCAACTTGACAATTGCATTCCGTTCTTCCCTTCAGATGTCGAAGTCTTCATAATTTAGTTGACCACCAGAAGAAAGAGAAAAAAGATTAGGCAGTCTTGTCTGATTCCAGTTCTTACTTGAAATGCGTCTGTCAACTGTCCTTCATGCACAACTTTACAGTGTAATCCACTATATGAATTCCATATGATGTTGACAATCTTCTCAGGTATGCCATATTATCGAGAAAGGTTCTATAAGGTTCTCCTGTCCATAATGTCAAACGCCTTCTCATAGTCAAGACAGTTGATGTGTAGTGAATAATTCCATTGAATTGACTGCTCAAAGATAATCCATAATGTAGCAATTTGATTTATACATAACTGATCCTTACGGAATCCGATCTGTTGATTTCGAAGTTGGGCGTCTATTGAATCTTTCATCCGGTTCAGCAACACTGCTGAAAACTCCCCCGAGTACTGATAGTAGTCAGATAGCTATGTAGTTCTCACACTTGCTGAGATCTCCTTTCTTTTGTATCTTGATGAGGTATCATTCTTTCCAGTCTGTTGGCACTTGTTCTTACTCCTAAATCCTCCTGAATAGAACATGGGGCATGTTTGCAGTTATTTCTATGTCTGACTTTAGTGCTTCAGCTGATATATTGTTAGGTCCTGCTGCTTCCTCATTCTTGATTTGTCTGGTGGCCATCCTGATTTCTTCCATCGTTGGTGGAGTGACATCTATAGGAAGGTCTGTAGGTGCTGATTCGATATCCAGTGAATTCAATGGAGCTAGTCATTTTAAGAGTTCCTCGAATTGTTCCAATTATCTGTCCCACTGTTATTAAACTTCAGTGTTGGGCTTGCCTTCTTCTTCCTTGAACGATCTCTCTGGTTTAAAATATTTGTCTGATAGTTTTTTCGTCCTGTCATATAGTTGTTTCATATTTACTTATCTTGTGGCTTTTTCCTGTTGTCATTGCTAAATCTTCGACGTATTTCTGCTTGTCGGCTCCAATGCTCCTGTTCACTAACTTGTTTGCTTTTGTGTATTTACCTTGTGCCTTGACTTTTTCTGTTCTTGTTCGACTGTTGTTAATTGCTATCTTCTTGTTCTTCCTTTTTTGAATCTTATCCCGATAGAGACCTATTACTTACGATGATGCTTATTGAGGCCCAGAACCTCCTGACACGTTGAAGCTAGTGCTTCTTTTATCCCTTTCCAGTTGTTTTCTATAGCAGTTTCCTCTTTTTGGGTAGATCTTTTACGACTTGGAACCAGTTGTTCAGTTATCTTGAACTGGTTGAGTCTGTCAGTATCTCGAAGGAAGGTTGTATTGAACCTTAGTAATACTGTTACCCCAATTGTCCAGTGTTTCTTCAACTTCAGTTTCATATTGGCAACCACCAGGTGGTGATATGAAGCTATGTCAGCTCCTCTCTTGGTTCTCACATTTCCCATTGGTCTTCTGAATGTCTAGCGATACAAATATGATCAGTTTGATTCCCTATAGTGTGATCTGGTGAGATTCATGTAGCTTTGTGTATGTGTTTGTGTGAAAATATTGTGCCGCCTATAACCAATTTGTTGAATACACATAAATTTGAAAATTTCTCCCCATTTTCATTTTTCTCTCCCAGTCCATGTCGTCTCATTTTATCTTCATATCCGGTGTTGTCCACTCCGACTTTAGCATTTAGATCTCCAATCAGGATGGTCAGGTTCATTCTTAGGAACTTCGCTATGATCGATTGAAGCCTCGAGTAGAACTGGTGGGTGCATAACACTGGATAACATTCCCTCCTTATTTTGAGGGATGATTTGATGACCCTCGGTCCATGAGATTCCCATTCTATAAGCGCTTTTCATGCATCTTTAGACAGCATCAGAAAAACTCCCTGAGTGTGTGGGGCATTTTCCTCTTTATGACTGGAGTACAGCAGCATCTCTCCTGTATCTAGCCCTTGCTATCCAGGTTGGGCCCGATGGGCTAATTCCGGGAAACGCCAAGTTGTATCTCCTCATTTCCGTAGCTATTCGACTGGTCCTCCCGGTCTCCCAGATTGTCCGGGCGTCCCATGTACCTATATTAATTATTGCTCTGGTTGTTAGAAGGGACATCGGCTTCGTGACTTTCGAAGGATCTCGGCTTTCATCATGAGGTGCCATAATTCTTTCTTCAACTCCCAGGACAGAGTTTAAATGCTTTAAATTGTTTATCCTGATTAGCGTATTTTTTAGCAAGGTTATTTTTTAAGGGATGGGGTTGCCGACTTCATGCCCAACCCTCTTCCTTCACCCGAGTTTGGGATCAGTAGTAACCCTAAAAGAGCTACAGGAGGAGTTTTAAAAGATTACCTTAGTTAATTATAAAGTTTGTATTATATTTGCATAACCAGCGTAGATCTTGACATAAATGTGCATTAGTCAATGTTGCTTTAACATATCAATGAAGCAAGATGAAATTAACAAGATGAAGAACAAAGGAGTAAAAATAATAGTGGTAGTGATGATAATAAGAAAAAACAAGCATTCAAAATACGGCTCCCGAAAAGACAGGATGAACAGGTGTGTATGAAGAGACAATGGGACTCAATATCTGGGGCTAGATAAAGAGTAGATCCACTTGTGTTATTGCGGCTTATTCTGATATATATCACCTAATGTATCCAACCACTGATCGCGGATATCGCGTGGACCCCCAACCAGATAGTCTTCATTTACCAACAATGTTCCGAGCAAACATCAATGGCTTCATAAACAGATGCCATGTTTTGATTTGGCACATTCCCTTTCTTCCAACCTAAAACTATGCCAGCAAACACCGCGTGTCAAGATAGACGATGGTTGGGTATACGTAAGACATACTCAAGATAACAAAAGATGAGTTACATGAATTGCTTCGAAATATAACATACCAACTCCAGCAGCGGCAAGGTAAACTGCGGCTGGACATCCAAGACCTCCACATCCCACAATAAGTACACGTCCAGATCGAAGTTTTAGTTGACCTGTATCAAAAACGGAAAAATTAACTAGGTGGATAAGTTTAAAAGACTGATCTGAAAACAACTCTTACAACTAAATTGAGAAAGAACATTTGTATCATAGTCGAGGTTGTAATTACAATAATTTTATGGAATAATTTTGCCTGATTCTAAACTCATCGTTGCTTTATTTCCAGAGTAATAGCAATGCCCAAACTTGTCATTACTTTTTTCTATTATCTTTACTCTGAGTGATAAAAATATTAAGCACCTTTTATTATTTAGATCCGTTTATTTGACCCTACTTTATATATATATATATATATATATATATATATATATCGGGCCTTGCGTAATAAAAGAACAGGAAATATCTTTTAAAGTAATTTGTTTTTTTTTAACATGCCAATGGGAAACGCTTTTTAATGTATAAGATGTTCAAAATATCACTTAATCTTGTTTTTACCCGTTTGTCATTAGAATGAAATGTCATCTTCAGTTTGCATACTTTCAAAGTTAACTGGAAATAATTTGAGGTCACTGACAACGTCACTAAAATTGACACATCTTTTAGTGCCTTAATGTACTAGTTTTTATGTGTCATAAATATATAAATATTTTCATTCAACAAAAATGTCGTCTACAATATGATTATTGACGCTAAACAAATACAGTGACAGTGAGTAGCCTTGGGGGACATAGGTCGTATCCTTCAAATCTAAGCATGCCACTGAGTAACATGGATCCAGATCTCTGCTAGAGCATTAGTTTCCCCAAAGCTTAAGATAGATTTTGCCGATGAATTCCAAACAGAACGAAAGTGAAGTTTGATTTCATCTTGGTGGATCTTGAAAAAAGCAGTAAATACAGACCTTTTCATTAGTTCATTATATCATCCACGTTATTCAAAAGTAATTTTGATTTTATTTGGTACTCTAATTCTATGGTTTGATAAATTTTATTGATGAATAGGTTAAACTGCATTTATCAGGAGTTTTGGGGAGATTTTAGTAATTTTATGGTTGAATTAATGAGTCAATTGAAGCTACACCACCATGGAAAACCTGAAAGCACTGGACGGTCGTTTCGTCCTATTATGGGACTCTTCAGCAGTGCGCATCCACGATCCCGCCTAGCGAGATTCAAACCCAGGACCAATCAGTCTCGCGCGCGAACGCCTAATCTCTAGACCATTGAGCCGGCATCCAACGGTGTTAATGTCTAACTCCAACCGATCCACAAAATTAAGCAACCCTTCACCATTGTCTTCAGTGAGTTGCTGTCTCACAACAGAACCGGTTGAACTCCACTGGTCACTGTTTCTCACTAGAATGCCAGGAAATACCTCTTGAAGCAAGTCACTAGTGAGTATATGATTATTGTCAGAAGGGGTTTTATGGAGGTTTTAGTAATTTTATAATTGAATTCATGAGTCAGTTGAAGCTAGACTACCATGGAAAACCTGGAAACACTAATATTAATCATATACTCACTAGTGACTTGCTTCAGGAGGTATTTCCTGGCATTCTAGTGAGAAACAGTGACCAGTGGAGTTCAACCGGTTCTGTTGTGAGACAGCAACTCACTGAAGACAATGGTGAAGGGTTGCTTAATTTTGTGGATCGGTTGGAGTTAGACATTAACACCGTTGGATGCCGGCTCAATGGTCTAGAGATTAGGCGTTCGCGCGCGAGACTGATTGGTCCTGGGTTTGAATCTCGCGAGGCGGTATCCAAAATGCATTTACACAAAAATATAAGCATGAATATTTTTGTGAAGTATTCTAGGTGAGACATAAACTGACCTGAAACACCAAACTGAGGAAGAATGAGCTGTCTGCTGTATCGAGAAATCTCTGAAGGTGTTAGATCACATTTCTCCTGTAAAAGTATGATTCAAAACATTGCGAAAACAGTAAGCCCAAGATATTATAAACTTACAAAATATGAGCTTGGGATTCGTTAACTGACTGTGGAAAACAAACACCAACTAATATATAAGAACTCTCGTCTAAATTAGAGCGAATAGTTTCACAGTATTTGAGCGCCGAGTTGATGTAAGACATTCGCTGAGATTTTACAAATATATTATTCCTATTTAAACACCAACTAACTTGGAAAAGGCCCATCCCTAACTTTTTATCAAAGGTCAACACAAAGCACCGATAGCGTTTTTCCAGCAAGTCGAAAAACAATAACAGGTACAAGAATTCTCATGTTTTTTACAGCGCCAAGCTTATTTCTTCTTGAAACATTCATAAGATCTTCAATTTTAAGCTTAACATAGGGAGATATTCTTCCTAAAACTTTTGTGTTTTACTAGACAGTTAATCATAAGCAAAGCATATTTGCATTAGTTCAAATTTTCACATCACACTAGTACAGAAAGATGAGATTATCAAGGCAAATATGAGAGAAGAAAAATTAGTAACACTATCAGTGGTAGTGAAAGACGGTAGGCACAAACAATATGATTCAAATAGACAAGGTGAATCCACAAAATAAAGTGTATAATATAACTTATAACAAACTAAGAAAGAGCATAAAAGTATTTGAGCCAATGCAACCGATTCTGAGCCGTGTCACTAACGTCCCTCCCTATGGGTAACAGTAATTGCATAGAATTCAATATATTTAACTTCACCTACCAACATAAGGCACACCAACAGCCAGTGACTTTATGTACGGATCCAACTCTTTGGTTTGGGCTGTCCTACTTTTCTTCTAACTCACTCCTAAGCTAACGGACATTGGGCATAGAGACAGACGTAATCCATGTCCGTAGCATTTCAGCTGATGAAGATTCGGTATCTCATCATCCGATTTTCCACACTCCCCTAATGCTCTGGGTTTAACCTCAGCGTACCTCACCCGATGGTCCCGAAATACTCGTACAATCCTTCAGACATGATAAAATACTAGTAATCTATGTATATCTACCGCCGAAGGCAGCCTTTAACAGCCCCTTAAGTTTTCCATGATCCCATCGAGATACTAATTGCTAAGTAATCTTTGGTCACTACCTTACCCAACTAGTCCCCAAAATAAGGACGTGGTTGGACGGATATGTAACTATTTTCCAAATAAACCAAGTTGAATGGAAGTGAATTACAGTAAGAAAAACATTATTATATTTATGATTTTAAACAAAAAGATCCTAGAGTCTTCCCCATTTATTCGCTGACGCTCATATCTTACGAATCGGGCAATCAGCATGCTCTAATGCAATCCTAGATGTAATATGCTTTCATCTATTTCCTGATAACAGCCATAAAATAGGACAGAACGAACTACTGAGCAGTGTGCCCACCCTTTAGTTGTGAGATGTGCATCTTATCTGTACCAAAGGTGAAGCAAGTTGACAGAAGCGAAGCGAGTTTTCTGAACACGTGCTGACACTTAATCAAGCGCCAACTCACCAGAATCGATGAAACTTCGACAGGTGAACTGGTAAACGCATTGAACTATTTCACTCCTTACCATCAGTTTAGACGTTGAAGTACACCAGTACACAAGTGGAAAATTTTGACAGTCCTGACGTTCAACATTTGATGTCCCTAATTCTGGCACAAGTTATCTATAAGCTTTAACACAGTTTGAGTAAAGAGCCCTTACAAAGTCCACCATCTATAAATGATAAACACCGCTACAAAACCCCTTGGTCAGCGAAGTCAAATAGTACCTTTAAGTAAACAACACACTATAGCCGGATGCTGGTAACTATAGCTGTGTTTGGAAACCTGATAGAGGGTGGATATTTGATCTACAAAACGAAATTCAGATCTGAAACTACCCTGGCTTTCTTGGTTCGCTCAAAAACTTTTGTTAAGCGTAGAGTAATTAGATGAAAAATTTAAATACTGTACTAGTCAAATCATTCAACGTTGGTTTACAAGAGGGTTGTGGTTGTTCCTCATAAGCTTGAACGATTAACAGTCAGGTAGGATCACCTCCAGATTCAAGACCTCAGTCACCCTGTGGCACTGGAACGCTATCCTTCAAGATCTTCGAGATTGGTTTATCAGGTCTTGATGATCTCCTTTGTTCTATGTTAGTCATTATCTTTTGAACTTTGTTAAGATAGGAGAATTTGTGTTGAATATCTGTTCATGTTACGTGGAAATGGGAAACTGGAGACCAGTTGAAGTGTTTTTACTTTTTGCCCTCCGTTTCAATAGCCTAAGACAAGTAGTTCTCCAACAAGTCTTTTATAAAGATAATCTCACTAATGCTTAATTTCTTGTTACCGGTTTGTGCATGGTGTTATATAGAAGTCCTGGATGTAAAGTAAATGATTTTATCCTTAATAAACTCGAATATCACTTTAATAATATGGAGGTTCGACAATGTGTGTTTGGGCAAAGTGACGACAATTCAGATGATGTCACCGTCTTGAAAACCTACACTCGATGGCTTGGACATAAGCTATGAACGTCAACCCAGTGAATTTCACACCGTGCATCATTTGCCGACCCTGAGACTGGTTGGAAAAAGAGGAGAGGTGGTCAATTTACAACATGATACCGTGGTATGGAAGAAAGGTGTGCAGAAATGACATCTGTCGACTCTTTGAGACTCCCTAGTTCGATTCGATAAAAATTGCAACACAGTGGTTTGGGATGTTATTAGACATGACTCAGAATAGGCGCCAGTAACGGTCTTGCAGTAAATTTCTTTTACTTCATAAAGGTAGAACCTTTTTAACCTAAAGAATTTCTGGTCATATTCTTACTAAAGGAAATGGTTTTTCCGTCATAACTTTTTACGTACCTACTCGTCACCATTCATCCACCATCTTTTTTATTTTTTTTTATACCTTCCGATATTTCTTCGCAAACTTATTTCCTTAGTGTGAGGCATATTTATTTTGATGTTCCTTTGTACTAATACTACTGTTAGAATAAATAAGTGGCACACTCAAAGGCCTCTCTTAAACAGTGGAAAATCGACCAGCGAGCACTAGTTGAAGTCACTTTGGATACATAATAAAACACCACTGTCCATACCTCGGAAGGTCCCAGAGTTTAAATAGCCATCTCTGGATTAACTATAAAATTAGATATCTACTGTAGCAATCAAACCATTATTTCCGGTGGACATCTACACGATTATCTGGAATAAATGTAGTGTTACAATCCGTAAATTCCAAATACAATCGAGCAACTAGTGACTATTCCAGCATATTAATCGCTGAAATAAAACGCATCGGGGGTTTGTGTTAACATTTGAAGGGTGATCTAGGTGACAATGTGACAAGGATAAAACAGAGGGTGCGGTAACGTAATTTCAGAATGTCTACATTCAACGCAGAATCAGTGATTAAGCGAGAAGTACTCAGTTTAGACATCTGTCAGACCACAGTATAAAAAGTACCAGAATAATTATATGCATAAAAGTCAGCAGGATCGGATTAGGAACACCTGTTGTTGCCCAGACAACTTTAAATACATATTAACAACACACCACAGCGATATCCAAAATCCCGCCAGCCAGTGTACTTTATTAATCCATTAGGAGGAAACTATAGCAACTCCCCCACAATACGGGACCAATAATGGCCTTTGATTTATCGACTGAGTGGTCTGCCGAGTATAGCTTCCAAAATTTTAAAACGCGTTATCCTGTGCAATGAATTTTCTACCGTCAATGAAAGCTGAGAAAGGTTCAGATACAATAGAGAAACAGTAATTTGGTTGATATCAACTTCGACAAGAACCTTCACATTAAGCTGCTATTGAGTTTTTTAGAAAAAATTGAGGACCACCAGACACCTAATTTTGTGAGTAAACCTTGTGCCAAAGAAACGACTTTTCGAATTACGCTTATCACTATTTCGAAATGCACAAATTATGAGGTGAGAATATACCATCTGGTGTTCACCGTTGAGATAATTTCAAAGTAAGCGGTTGTTATGTGTTTGAAAATCACATCACTCAATATCTCTAGGACAAGCTTTTGTTAATCAGTCGATTTAATCGCACTTTCATTTTAGTTCTTAGGCACGACTTCAGACTTCTAGTCGAGTATTAATAAAGCAGTCCAGTTACTCTACACTAGTTCTGGTGGATTCGATAGTTTCTTAGTGGTCGATATGTTTCGCGTATAAATGAAGATTTTTCTAAATGTATTATGGTTACTGGGACCAAAAACTATCCCACTGACCGTCAGTCAGCCTGTTGGTGGCAATATGAATGTTGCAATTTTTGTATATATGGACGTGGATTAACGATGTGTTCACGATAAATTAATCAAATTACTTTTAGAGTCAGAGACAAATTACTGATCTCTGTTGAAACCGTATATCACGAAAGCATATCTCTTCCTTATAAGACTGATCAACGGTTGTCAGGTTACTCATCGTACTTTCTCAAGCCTAAGAATGACGAATGCTGATTGACCAATCAGTGATGTAGTTCTCCCACTAAAGGGTGTAGTCTCAATTAATATACATTAGCATCTGATTTTGTACTACACCCATTATTCCATTGCTAAGCAAGTATAAATTACCATCATCTTCGCGTCAGTTCAGCGGCCTAACTAGACGCCTGGATGTTGAATGTTTTCAATTTTATGGACAATATCGGTGTTTCTTGTCTTACGTGTTGGACTACGCTACATATGTGCGAAGCTGGCTTGTAGGCTGAAAAAGGTAAAAATAGAGATTCGTAAGTTTTCTGTGTATTTCAAACTAAGAACCAGAAGCTTCAAGGCTAAACCTCAATATTACAAGTCTTGTAAACGATTTATGCGAAACCAAGTGCACTTGATATAGCTATGGTCAGGATTACAGGTTGGCATAAAAGTTACTTCCCAAATGATTTTGCGCAGTGTCTAGTTATGCGTTAGACATTCGCCTCTTCCTAAAATTCAATTCAAGACACAATGATGAAGTACTGTACGGTTCAGGTCATACATTTCATAAATATGAGTTACGCAAAGATACTAACAGACTATACAACTTAAGAAGTATTCAATAAAATGTATGGCGATCAAAATATAAAATGCATAAACTTATCAAACCTTTGAAAAGTATGAGCTAGTTACTTTTCAAACCAAATAGAACATCTCCAAAAATCTGAGAAGGTTAATTTTCTACTGTGAGGTAGTGTAGTTCAAGCAATTCAAGCACCCATAAGATTAAGGTCTAGATTGGTGTCAGCACATTTAAATATGCTTCTAGAATAATGAACTTGGTTCGAAATTGTAAACTTTCCATGATATGACTGTTTAAACTACATGGTCTTTCATTGAAATCACATCAATATTTATACTGACTCTCTCTATTGTGACAGCCAGGACAGCTTGAAACAACATATTCATGCTGGTAATAAACTAGTAAATTAAGATCATGGGTCGATAATGTTGGACCACCACTAGAAACCTGAAAGCACAAGACACTTGTTTCGTCATAGCATGAGACTCCCCGACAGTGCCTATCCACGATCCCACACACATTAGTCGAAGCCAGTAACGTCGGTACCTCGTGAACGCCCAAACTCTGGACCATTGAGCCGGCAACCAATGGTTTTTGTGTTCAGCTTTTATCAATTCCACGTTATTGCGTAACCAAGATTAGCTGATTGAAGTTAAACACTGACATCATTAGAAGCCAGGGCAATGGTCCAGAGTCTAAGCATCCACGCGGGACCGACGATCCAGGGTTCGCGTTACGTGTGTGGGATCGTGAATGAGCACTGCCATGGAGTCTCATATTATGGCGAGACAAGTGTCTTGTGCTTTCAGGTTTCCAGTGGTGGTCCAACACTGATTGCTTCATGATCTCAATAAAAACTCAACAAACTCCACAACCACATACTGGGAATAATATGTATTAAAGGGGCGATCAGGCCTGCATAGCCGAGCCATGAAGTTTCGGTTAGGTGTCCATTCATTAAAAATCTTTCACCCTATTCCAATGTTTAACGACCAGCCTGAATTTTCTCAGTTGTCGTATGTTCAGCCATGTGGATTGTTTGATCAGGAACCAGGATTATTCTACCATCACACATTTCAAAAATTCAATTTATCTAGAGCAGTATATGAGTTATTTTATTTAGGGGGTGACCGAAACGATATAAATTCATCCATTAAAATGCCCGCGAATGAAGTAATACATTAAAAAAACTCAATTGCCAGAAAAAGGAATGGTGGCAGTTTTGTCTTGAGCCTAAAAATATGTATGACGTGTAAATGAAGGAATCCAAAACAGCGACTTCGAATTTTAGAATAAACGAAAGTGTTTGTTACTTGAATAAAAACAACATCAGAAGATAAATCATATATAACTGAAAAGAAGGAAGTAGGGACAAAGAAAAAGAATACATAGAGACATTTTCTCACATACATATACGAAACGTAATGAAGTGGGTTTTTTAACGTCGTTCAGTGTCTTACATTTTACTTCTTAATGCCTATACTCTCATTGGCAACCTATACTTAACACGATAGTCAATTAAAGCATTGCATCAAAGCCTTACTCACAGTCCATAATTTGTAACTGTCCGATTAGCTTGTAAAATGGTACTTTTAGAAATAGTGTTTTTCAACAGGATGTGAAACACAGAACGTTGTGTGAGGTATGATATACATACAAAATATGAGCGTAAATGAGCCTAACATCACAAAAGGAGGGAGGGTGGAGTTACTGACCAGCAAACATTGATGGTGAGGGCTATGACTTCAATCCACACGTGTTTGTGGAGCAGAACATTTTATTGTATCAGGCTCTTTATGGACGAGAACAAGTCAATCAATTTGTGATATTTATACTCACCATTCAGACTCATGTTTCTAATATTTATGCTGGAATAACTATTCTACTAAGACAACCTATAACATGCTAACTTGGACTTTTACATGAAAACTGTGTAGCAGGCATCAGATGATGAAAAAACAGACATTAAAGGATATGGTTGTTAGTTTACTCAAAACTCTACTTTCTATATGCACTCTCTGTTCCAATAAACAGTCTTTCTCACTTCAATCTTGACTTCCCTTACTTCATTCGAACCTACTCCACCTCGATAAACATCACGACTCATTGTTGTTTATTACTGCACTCCCTCATCTGGAGCCCCTGATCACATTTCACTCCAGCAACATGAGTTAGTATCAGTTTGACCCAATAATTTATCATACCTTCGTCTGTTCCACTACTAAATGTTAGGCATTGGTTATCGTTCATATCCAAATGCCTTTCTGCTCCTCAGTTTCTTTCTTTTTTTCTATCTTCAGAATCTTGCTCTGGGGGTGAAGATATGTAACTTCTGACACCTGGAACAAGCTCGACAAACGCGCTTCCCCAAGGTCATAGTTCGAACCAGGCGCTCCACAAGTCTACTTTATAACAACTATAAACTTAAAAAGCCGCACTACATAAATAATTAGCACTATCGAAACCCTGATACACTTTTTGTCGAGATTGGATCTGGTATGTAACGTGGACGAGATACCCCTTTGGAAAATATTCTGATGAAAACATATTGTATCATTACGAATGAACTGCTATCAATTTTCATAGATTATATTTACCGAACAACCCTGCTTGGGATGCATACTGTTATCCAGTATATGTTGTAATTTGTAGATCATGCCTGTAAAAATGGTGTGTATCTGCCCTTGCAGAAATATATTATATATTACATAATTCCTACTAACAGGAACTAGTAAATGCGGTTACCACATGTTCCCTAATGCAACATGTGAAAAAAGCAACTAGGTGCGACCCGGGCTCTGAATCATTCTTACTAGATCTTATAATGACTCACTATGAGGATGACGTTGCGAACCTGGATTACATGCCACCCTTAGGCAAAAGTGATCATGCTGTTTTATCCTTTGACTTCCATATAGCTGTCGATCACGAGCACGCGTCAGCTCACTCTAGACCTAACGTCTGGAAAGCAAACATACAAGACATCATGCACTCAGCATCATCAGTAGATTGGACAATAGACCCAGAGTCCTCAGTCGAAACGGCTTGGGACGTATTTCGAAATTTATACTTGAAAGATACCGCCGAGAAACTTCAGTACGGAGGTTCGCATCCTTCTCCCTAAAAGAAATAAAATGTGGGATAGATTTAGGTTACTGAGGACTGATGAGGCATAATATCGGTATCAAAAAGCTCGGAATACCTGTCCCTCGATCCTCCGTAAGTCCAGAAAGCTGTACGAAGAGAAAATTGTTAAGGAACCCATAGAATGCCATAAACGCTTGTATTCGTATATAAGCCAAAGGAAAAAATAAGAAATCTCCATTCATTATGGGGAGACAATACTGCCTCATCACTAGTGGAGGAAAACTTTGGCTAAGCTCAAGTATTCTCCAAATACTTTAGCAATGTATATACCATAAAAACACCCTTCACACCAGTCCATAAAATTCCCCCCACAAAAACAGTGGACTCGATGTCCTTGGCCTGCCAAATAAGCTTGGCATGAGCAAATCCACCGGACCCGATGAACTGCATCCTAGGTTACTAAAGGAATCAGCAAACTTTGTTGCGAACCCTTTAAGTATATGTTTTAATCTATCCGTAACCCAGTGTCGTCTACCAAAAACTGTAAGAACGCCATAGTAAGTCCAGTCTTCAAAACAGATAGGAAACATAAACCTGAGAATTACCGACCCATTAGCTCAAGTAGTGTGGTTGTTAAAATCTTAGAAAGGATTATTCGGAAGGAGCTGTTTAAGACGGTCGATGAAAACCGGATACTTTCGGAGAAGCACCATGGTTTTAGAACAGGTTATTCTTGTCTCACTAACACACAGGCCCAGAAGGAATTACTTTTCTGCTGACTATCGATTTTCCCATCGAATCATCAACGAGTGGAATTCATTACCTCAGAACGTGATTGAGGCTCCATCCGTCGACTCTCTCAAAAAGTATTGGATCAACTGAGAAATCATCATTTTCATGACTAACACAGGCCATCAAGCCTCCTGTTCTTTCTAAACAGAAACTAAATTTGTTTTAACCTGTCAATGTTTCGAGTACATGTTGACTGTGGTTATTTCAATAATAATAATTTGCCCAGCAAAGGATGCCGGAGGTAAGTTGGTGTTTAGAACTATCACCTTTCAAGCCAATAAGAGTTTTGTTGACAGGTGCAGCTGGGCAAATAGGATATTCACTTGCCGGGATGGTTGCTCGCGGTGACATGTTCGGACCTGATCAAGTTAGATATGTTCTTTTCTAACAACTGCAGGAAGTTATCTTGCATCTGTTCGATCTTGAACAAATGGTAGAATCTCTGAAAGGACTTGAAATGGAACTTCAAGATTGTGGATTTCGACTGTTAAAAAATGTGGTTGTGACTCATAAACCAGAAGTAGCGTTCAATCAAATTGATGCTGCCCTCATGGTTGGGGCTATGCCTAGGAGAGAAGGAATGGAGCGTAAAGATTTGCTAAATGCGAATGTGAAGATTTTCAAGGAGCAAGGGCAGGCTCTGGACAAGTATGCTAAAAAGACTGTCAAAGTGGTTGTTGTGGGTAATCCTGCTAACACAAATGCACTCGCGCTGATGAAGAACGCTCCTTCTATTCCTAAAGAAAACTTTAGCGCGCTCACAAGACTTGACCACAATCGTGCTCAGTCATTTGTTAGTTTAGGTTACTCCTAATTTTTCCTATAGATAGCCAAGCGTCTGGGAGTTTCATGCGATTCTGTAAAAAATTGTATTATATGGGGCAACCACAGCAATACGCAATTTGTCGATGTAAGTCATGCTGTGGTAAAGCAAGATGGGAAGGAGATTCCTGTCACTGCCGCAATTAATGATGATAACTGGATAAAAAATGAGTTCTTAAGCGCTATCCAGAAGCGCGGGGCTGCTGTCATAGCAGCCAGGAAACTAAGTAGTGCATTGTCTGCTGCTAAGTCTGTTTCAGACCACATGCATGACTGGTGGCTTGGAACGAAGGAGGTATGTTCCCATTTGCATTTATTTTGTTTTAAGGGCGAATGGGTGTCGATGTCTGTAATCAGTGATGGTTCTTACGATGCTCCAAAAGATGTTATCTTTAGTTTTCCTGTCCAAATCCAGAATGGAAAATGGACCATCGTTCAGGGTTTAAAACTTGATGAGTGGGCTAAAAGCAAGTTCGCCATAACAGCAGAGGAGCTCAAGGAGGAACGCATCGCGGCAGGGCTTGATTAGTGACTTCTTGAATGTCGTCGTTGTCAGTATTCTGACCATTATTGTGGCTACTTTTTGTAGTTCTTGTTATTCATCTTACATTTGTTAAAAATATGATAGTTTTTGCATTTTATTGGTCGTATTTATAAATTGTTCATAAGTAGATCACTACCAAGCTCTTTGTATAGTCATCGCTTCAACTTATTTGGGTCTACCGCAAACTTAGTATAATTAATTTCAGCACTTATACTTTCAGCCATTCCATATACCGATATGTATCTCTAGGGTGCAGAATATAGTTTTATATTCGCTGCTAATATAACTTATTGGTTCATAAACGAGCTAAACGGAGAAAACAGAACATTCTAATTGCTTCCCTTAGTAGAAAAGATTCGGTGATTTTCGTACTGTGAACTAGCTGTGCTATGTGTTTATTACGACAAAACTATAGTTGGCAAGCTCTAACGGGGTTTATTTTGCTTGAAGTTCAGATCTTCATACGTTTAGATGGTTTGGCTATGATTTTTCTTCTTGAGATCTGTTAGGGTTCTAGGTATATTTCTGTCGTTTTTTCTAATGGTTTGCCAGGTTTCAGATTTTGTTTGCAGAATGGTAGTCACGTTGGCTTAGCTACTTTCTTCTTGCCAATTTTATTCGGCTGTACTCATTGACGCAGTCAATCTAGCTGCTTTCTTGTTAGAGAAGTCTAGTTTAATATTTGTGGTGTGTAAAGACGCGACCATTTAACATCTGTGTACAAACGATGTTAAAGGGCAGGTTGTTAGTGGTTATGTATTCTGTTACTAGCATCCATGAGTATTGTTTAGTGGCTAATCATACTACCTGGACCCTCAAATTAAAGGGGATGATACAAAGATTAAATCTTCCATTGAGTTATTGGGATTTGTTTGACTTCAAAGAAAGTACGTTTGATTATCCATTTATTCAATTTAGTAGCCACATTAGAAAAGTAAATGATAGAATCCAGTCAGCAGTCAGGACTAGGCAACACTGTAAATTGTATCTTGGTAACCCGTTAGTGTATTGCAGTCAGCTGTTTACGGAAATTATGGACATATGGGTTTTATTGCTGCAGATGGTTTATTGCTTAATTTGCCACCCACGTTAAACATAGTACTGTCAACAAAGCAACTCTAATTAGCATGTGCCTGTGCAGTTTTTATTTAGTCCAGATTGACGAGAGCAGCTATATGCGTGTCTGTAAGTTTAAGGAAACACTAGGAAATGTGATCCGATAGTTTCAGTGAAATGTAAACATGGAATTTCGAGAATTTGATTAAAATTGATACGAACGTAAAGCCTCAGATTATACCTGCCTGCTTATTTGACAGTTGTTTCGGTATTGTGGCCAATGAATTTCATTCTTGATGTCGCCGTCAAACTGTAGAGTTTGCCAGATAGACATAACATGAGCGTTAAATTCTAACGTATTTAGCGACCGAGATAAATTTGTTAAATTGCACTGTAAGCAATTACGTAATCGGACTCAATGACTAGAAATCAATGGACATAGACTTCCTACGGATTGGGACATGGAATACACAAAATAGATATTTGGCTAACGCAGACTGCTGTGTCCACCGTAAACCACACTTCAAGCGTGTCTGGGATGGTCTACGTCATCATTTGGATTGATGCTAGAGCGTGAATTAGTTGTGTTTGCTTATCACTTCACTTGTTTCGTACGCCTCATCGGCCCCGGTGGGTCGGTCTTCAAGGAAATTTGACAGGGATTCAAGAAAAATTCTTATTATATGCTTATAGTTTATTTCTAAATATTATAACTTTGTAGAGAGTATTCTTAAAATCGATTGTGTTTTAGGGTTTACTACTACACTACGAAAATACAAATACAATCTTTTGATTTCCTTATGGTTGTGATTTTATTTCTAACTAAATATTTTGCCAAGAACAAACAAATGGAAAAAGGTCTCATAAATTTCTGAACAAAGAGAGAAGTTGTGTGGTGGGAAAAAGAATTACAATAATCTTTAATCAAGAGATGAATGAGATGAAAATATTTTGATTAGAACTAAATAGTGTCTTTAGAGGTCTTTGAATATCTTCAACGAATCCATATCTAATTATACGATAAGAAGAAGCAAAAACAAGTAAATAAATATATTACTAAAGGAAGTAGTCCACAAGATTTTGATAATATTAATCAATTAGACAAATCAGGATTTTGAGTTGTCAAGGATGATATTTTGGTATTGTGTGGGTAATGTGCAACATTATGCCAAAATTGAAACCCGTCTTCTCATGAATAATACAGTTTGATCGTGCAATAATCAGTGTCAAAATAACTCAACCACTCGGGAAAGGATATAATTAGAGAAATTGAGACTTCCTAACACTTATATTTTGCAGATATATGATTTGTGTGTTCATTTTTGATAGTAACATACATTTTATGTTATGCATAATTAGTTTAAGATTGCTTACCCAGAAAATGAATTCACTTGTGAAAGGGAAAACAATGAGTACTTTTTATTTTTAAGTATTTTAGTATCAAGAAAACTAAATGGTCAAAGTCAAGCGTTGTATGTTAAGTATACAGTTACGTTTCGGTTGGCGAAGTCATTTCAAATAATTTTTCTTTAGCCAATAAGGAAGTGGCCCAATTTCTTTAGGCTAGCAGTAAATACAATGGTATTATTGTGGACGAACATGATCGCTTATATAAAGATGAGTTTGTGGACGACTCTTCAGCTAAAGTAGTTCTATGGAAAATTACTTACAGGTACTTGTAAGTATATTACCGACCCCAACTCTTAGTTTTTGATGCATGTATTACGAGCTGGATCTTACATCATTTTATGTACCGGACACTAAGGTATCTCGATGTATGTCAAAGATCACCATTGTCATTATACCCGTAAGAAAATTGGGAAAAAAGTCGCTATCTGCTAACAGGATTAACCTTTGTGGGAAAAATGAACTACTAAACGCATAACTTATTGCACCGATGAATAATCAAGATAGATTAGTGTATGGATTTGTGGTATGGAAATGACGAATTGTGTATGTATTTGAAAAAGAAATACATCTCAGAGACCGTGTGGAAATTCTATTAGACAACAGTACAAAGACTTTCGGAAACCGATTGTTCCAGATGAAAGAGTAGACACTATTGGTGCAGTCAAAGTACTCTGTAGTTGAAACCAGGGCCATATTAAGGATGCTTTTCTCAAAAAACTTCAGAGTATTCTGGCATTGAAAGCCACTCGTCTAATGCTTTCCCATCAATCAAGCGATACCGTCAACAGCTCAGCTTACGCACTTACAAATCCCATATGGTTATAATATTTATTTGAAATCACCATTCGTCATTAGTATAGAATTTTTACCATTTAAGGGACTGAATAGTTTAACAGAAAAATTCAGTGGGTAAATATTAAAGCAGATATACTTGCAGAACTTGCGTTAGTGGTGTTGTATCGATCTCAAATAATTTCAACATGTATATGTATCTGAGCTACTTAGTAGCACCCGAGTATTTGTCTTAATGTTTTGATTGGAGGTACATACGATAAGTGTGTTTGGACAAACCGGATATTTTACAGATCAGAAGACGGCTATCATCTACCCGGACAGTGTGGCTAGTCAGCTGTTCATCGAGACACGATAGGTAGAGAATTTAGCATTTTGATGCTTTTTCTTACTGTCTAGACGAAATGGTACGTCACTATCCATCCCATAGAACACAACAATATCAAAGGCAATGTATAAATATAACAATATCTGAATCTGGACATGACTTCCGCTTTAACAAAAAGTTAATTTTCTGATACCCTCAAATATGCTTTTTTTTTACTAATATTCAACTTCTTACTGAAATTACTAATCATTTGTAAATTTCAGAACATTTCAATACTCCGATACAAAATAGTCAACCAGTGCCTAATCGTATCATATGGTATATATTATCTCAAATTTATTCTAACAAATTTGGTTTTTCTGTTAACATTTAACATACTTCCAGTGGATTATATAACATTACTAGCGACCTTCGTTAACTGAATAAAAATCTTACTAAGTTTGAAGAAAAACTCTACCGAATCATTCTTTAGTGATTAGTAAATATTCAACTGTATTCACAAATCCAATTTGAAACTTACTTAATTTTCTTCGTTTCTTAGAGAGCAACAGAATATAAGTTTAAAATTTTAACTAACATAAAATATGGAAAAGAAAATGTGTATATATTAATGATTTGAAGATGCATGCTTAGTTCACTTGAGCTTCCGTCTTTGAACTAAAACTTACATTTGAAAACATCACATAGTTCGTGGGATTTTCAGTATTGACCTTGGACAATAACCTTCTTCATCAAACTTATTCTGAACTTTATACCATTGTCCATTCTTTTCTAAAACTTTTACCCATTCACCATTTTCTACTGTTAATTCTCTTTCAGAGCTTGCCTCAAATGACTCAATAACTTGAACAAGTCTATAGAATAAGTATATTGATAATATAAATACTGACTGGTTAACAAATTAAAGTTCTTGAATGTAGAATCAAATCATTCTTTATCGAAAGCCTAAATTCGGTCTAATTTTTTAAGTTAAATACGAACAACGTTTACTGACATTTAGAAATGTAGCAAAAATTGAACCCTTCCCTCAAAATGTATTACAAATTATATGTATCACTTATCTCGGTGTACTGACCCTTATAGTATCAGATCAGCAGGCAAAATATCAACATCTAGTGTTGAAATCATAGGTTTTTTTAGAAGAGTTATTATTAATTACCAATGTCTGTCGTTGGATGTCAAACACTTGTGCACATTTTCTTTTCAGAGCTAACTATTTACGGATAAGTTTAATGTATTTTTTCTAGGTTGTCACCCTGAACAACATGTTTTGTTGGCTGATTAAGAATGCATTCATTTTGTTATACTATATCATGTAAAAACTTTCAAATTCTAGTCAGTTAGATTAGAAGCAGCATAGTGTCTTTAATTAGGTGCATAGATATATTTAAATTAGCAATGAAAACTCAGCTAAGATAAACAATAAAAATATAATTAAATAAAGGGTGATGAAAAGGATAAATAATGTTTGTGTAGAGATTGTACGTCGAATGATTAAGTTGAAAGTTTTAACATTTTTCGGAAAGAAAAAGTGGGGCAAGTACAGCGGCTAATTGATCGCTATGTCAGTGGCATATGAATGAATGTACCTGTTCCATTGCAAACGATATTGAGTCATATCATCCAGAGTCTAACTATTGGTTACGATAATCAGGCAGACCGCAACCAGGTAGTCTGTACCTACTAACATGGCTAAGTCACGTTGTTAACGACTTCATTGACTGGTGCTATGTTTGGGTTTGGCCACCCTTAGCTTTCTCCCAGTCTGCTCTTGCACCAAAAAGCATAGCCCGTCAAGGTGGGCGGTGGTTGGGTATACATAACACATGTCCCAACCACCTCAGTTGATGAAGATATACTGCCTCATCAGTCGGTTTCTCATCTTTACATAGTACTCTCTTCCTAACCCGGGGATTGCTTACTTTATGGTTCCGAAATACACGAGCGATGCTTCGTAGACACTTATGATCAAATACCAGTAACCTACAAATATCCTCCATTCTTCATATCCATGTTTCACTCCTCTAAAGTAGAACGGAGAAAACTGCTGCTCAATAAACTCGCCCTTTGGCTGGAAGACGAATATCTCGCCTACGCCACATGTGACTCAGATTGACAAAAGCCAGTCAAGCCTTATAAATACATGCCAGAATTTCGTCAGGCACCAGGTCATCAGTACTGTTGAAACTCATAAGGTAAGTGAGGTAATCAATGAGTTCAACTACATCACTCCCTATCACTAATTCAGTGGATGAAGCAATCTAATCCCGAAGTAACATTTTACATGTGAAGTGAATGAACCGCATTCTAAACATGTTTGTATTGTCGCTAAAGTTGGTGATCTCTGAATTTTTTCAGTGTCCTTACTAAACAGAACTATATCACCTGCATAATCTGAGTTAACAAATAAATCTCCTGGCAGAAGATCAATCCCTGAAAAGTCAGGCAATGAGTGTTATCATTAAAAGCATGTTTATGAAATATTTAAGTAAAAATGTAGACAGCGAATAACCCTAACGAATTCCATAAAAGGTTAGTTTGGTGACTGTCTTGTCTTCTCAGTATTTTAAATCACTTATAATTATGTTTTTTTGTCAACACTAGACAAAACCGTTATAGCAAAAGAAAACTGTACAGGTAACACTGAGTTTTGTAAAGGTTATTTCTTTAAACAAGATACACAGCAGTACTTATTTGTATATGAGAAATATAACGCGCATATTTTATGCTCCTTTTGACGGAATGTATAGGTGTATTTTTACACCGATTTTCTGTTGATTGTCTTTTAATCTACACAATTTAAAGATGAACAACCCAAATAAACTTATGACGGTTATTATTATGAAATTACTTTAGGTGTCTGTTATGGCGTTGAGTTTGTAAATGTGTATTTTAACTATTTAGTTGTTTACGCTTTTGTTTTTTCTACTATTATTCATATCACTGTTTGCATGAGTGATTTATTATTTGGAAATTTTGCCCCCAAATGCCCTGGTACGGCCGAGAGTAGGGACAGTCCGCTCTCCCTCTCGAAATGCTCTCACATGGCCACGCGAATATATAGCCTCTACCAGGCAAGTCCTACTCGCTGCCTTCTCGTGGCACGGGTGTTGTTTACGAAAGTGAGAGGACAAAAAGCGAATGTCCGTCTCTTTAATCGGGTTGGTGGACACGGAAAGTTCACCTAGGGGAGTTGGAAAACCCTGATTACAAACCAATGGTGTACATGGGTTCCAGTACCCTGAGGGAACAAATGGCGTATGAACCAATCGTTGGTCACCGGCTACCATTGGACTGCATCTCCTTACGATGCGCCACTGCCTTGTGGACTAGACCTTCAGTTAAAGGCTCCGGGTGTGGCCCCCTAAGAAAACCGCCTGCTTCAGTCTGGGCACCTGGGCAGTATCACAGCCCTCACACAAATCAAATGAGATTTGTGAGGCGCATATTTATCTGGTGCATTTTTGTACCAATATTTATGTGTTTAAATAAATAAATAAATAAATTTGGAAATTTTGTCTGTTTTAACTTTTGATGAAAGAAGCTTAATGGTTACATTAAGAAAGATTAGCTAGCTACTTATCATTTTTCGAATACATGTAATTTGTCATTTTGCTGAAGTAGATGTTAGCTATAATATAACAGTTATGTTTATACGAATAGTGTACATTTTTTAGCTTCTATTATTTATGGTATGACCTATAAATATTATTGACGTAAGCATTTAGTTGATCTTGAAGTGGCAGTTTTTGACACTCATTGATGTCAGCTAGTGAAAAACGATTTGCTAGTCTTGATTAGTTCCACAACTGATTTAAATGGATCATGAAAATTGTTTTCCTGCTGATTATATCTGTGCTCTTACTTACTTGTTATTGTCACGTGGTGTTCTAGGAGATTGATTCGCACTAAATTTACTGCCTGCTGGAAGCATATATCTTGTCTGAAACAAAAGAAAGAAACCAAGACTATACAAAAGATACTGATGAAGACAAGATATTTTTCTTCAAGATCTATACTCATGCATATTATGCGTATTTTGGTACGTCTTCGTAAACCAACAATATATAACTGAACACTAAATATTGCACATGTTAACTATGTTTAGTGATCGCTCGGTATTCATATTTGAATAAAATATTAGTTAGTAAACAAACTGAAGTTCACTAACTAACTGAGGGTTATGAAATTATTATAATGGTTGTTTTTGTAGAGGCGGTATGAATTACCTCATGGAGTTTAGGTCATTTTCAGGCCTCCAATAAATCTGATAAGTGAATCTTATCTGGCAAATAAATTCACAAATCGATTAATTTATTATAGTAGTGATTTTTATTGGTCAATTATGAGCCACTGTTATAATCGGAATACTTATATCCATTAAATAAATGTTACTTGTTTGGAAAGTTTATTAAACAATAACCTAAAACATTAATACAATCATCCGGTTGGGTTGTGATAATCATTAAAACTAGGTTAACATTTAATCTCATAAGTTTTATTGATGGATTTATTATTAAATAATAAAAAATAGTTGCCAACACTCACTATTACCATCTACATAAAAACAGACTTTGTAGTAAAATCGAATTGTGACTAACAGTGAGATCTAGAATCCACGTTTTGTCCTACTTGGGACTCGTCTGCTGAATATACCTATAACCCAAGTGCTGATTTTCACACTGCAATTCAGACTCACTACTTTCATCTTCAAACGCCACTTAATTGTCTGCTAAGCTACATAGTTGATATAGCCATTAACTAATCAAAGTAGTTGAATTCATCTGTGAAGCTTTGTATTTTCCTCTTCAGAATAAATCTTCATAAATACATTTGTTTTTAATTAATTCCTAATTAGTAAAGAATAGTCTTATTACACATGGTATTGAAAATTGTTTATACTACTGATTTTGTACAGTATAGTTAACTACTCTCAAAATAATTTCCTCGAAAAGTAAAAGCAGTTGTATTCAGTACTTCCACATAATCATGAATTACATATTTCCTCACAGTTAGTAATTTACTCAATAGTATATCCTTACAACTGTGGAGGTTACTTATTAGCCATGTTCAGTTATGCATTATCTGCAACCAGTAACACAGAAGCAACCAATATTTGATCTTTAGTAAGAGATTTTGTAATTTTATTTGTTCAATTTACTTTAAACAGCAGGAATTTATATGCAAAAAGATCATGTTTAATTATAGTGCAAATATCGACAAAGAACTCTGCTTGTATCTCTTCTAGGGATACTGTCGGCCCCAAGCCCGAGTAAAGGAAAAGGGTTGGGTATGGGGTTGTCAACCCATGCCGTAGAAAACAACTTTGCTAAGAAACACTAACCAGAATAAGTATCGACAATGAAAAAGTAGTATGAATCGGAAGATTTACCGAAGGATAAATGAACTGAAACAGAATTGATCCATTCAACGTTTAACAGATGTAAATGTTAGTATTTGTCACTCTATAATTCATAATAATATCCCATGAATTACATAACTCATATCAAATATAATTAACTTTAGAAATTGACTTCAGAAAAAGTTATTTCTATCTTATGTATTCATTATCAGGCATTTTATATTCATGTTTTTGTTAAAGATTTCATATTAGCTGCATTGTATTTACAAAATGAGTTAAATTATCTTCTCAGTTAGACTAAGATTTTTAATCTTTAAAAATGTACTATCTTGCTATAAACCAGATGATCAACCTTTTATGAATAAGTATCTTGGTTAGAAATCGTCATTTTGCACTACAGTACCCGAGGGATACACATTTCATTATCGATGATAGCATGATCATACGATAAAGTTTACACATTGACATATTAACCCTTTTAGATGATAAGTTCTTTTAGATAAATTAATTATTTTGAAATATTAAATTGTCTGACATTAAGTGACTTTCATTGGTTTTTACATTTGAATAAAACATCATTTAAATGATGCGATCGTTCTAAGTGACACATTATATTGACTTCAAATGGAGTTATTTTTAGATAATGTCAGAGTAGATACCTTCCTCAGCATGATGTATTACAAAGCGAGTAAACTTTCTATAAGCATTTTTATAGATCTTCTATAATTCATGAAAACATTTTCAGTATGTTTTACTTAATCAGAAATTACGCATTAGAATAGAGCACACAAGAGTTTTTAGGTCAACTAAGGTTTCATTTCCAATCTATTTCTAAACACACACCCTTTAGGTAAGTCATTATTTATAATCACATCTCTACTTATATGGTATTTTATTAACTTGGCTATGATTGACTTGATTTAAACTAAACAAGGTATAACTTGTTGATGTCATTTGGATACCTTAACCCTATCTACTGCAGTCCTAAGCTTTATAAGGATTTGGTTAAAAACATACTGATAATTTGGCTAAATGTACTGTTATGTCTAAAATCTTTATACTTTTTATGTTAATGATTATTTCAATTATAAAGCATTGATATAAAAATTGAGGTGACATTTTATACAATTTTATCTTCGTGATTATTATCCTGGATGTCAACTCATTTTATTCAACAGTGACGGACTCAATAAACGTATCAATATACTTTACTTATCAACTACATTTTTTGATGAGAAGGGGTTTCGTGGAGATTTAGTATTTTCATAGTTGAAAGCGTGAGTCAATGGAAGCTAGACCACCAGGGAAAACCTGGAAGCACTGGACGGCCGTTTCGTCCTATTGTGGGACTCCTCAGCAGTGCGCATCTACGACCTTGCCTCGCGAGATTCGAACCCAGGACCTACCAGTCTCGCACCAGAGCACTTGATCGATCTTTTGAATTATACAAACTCGTCCAATTTTTTGAAACATAGCTACCGTAAAATGAATTGCAAGATATTCGTTGGTAAAACTAATAGATAAATACTTGTTGAAAATATTAACAGTTAAAGATGTTGAAAAATGTTAAATGATGTAGTAATAACGTACAACCGATAAATACAATTACCAGACACTAAAATGAATTTCTCTAGCTAAATAATATATTCAGTCAAATTGACCCGTTATTGATCGGTAATTGGATATAGACATATCCATCTGAGCCAAATGTCAAAGGCTATCTAATATACTTTACTATTCACTACACTTTTATTCAACATGTTGACTATTCTGTATTGTGTGTACATAAACTCTTGTTATAGTCTATATCTGGTTCACGATCTAACAGTATACGTGCATCAGTTTTCGTTATAATAGATTGGCGGGGAAGCTGAGATGTAAACCAACTGAATATAATTAGAAAAACAAAAACAGATTTTTTTTTAACAAATGAACAAAAATACCTTATTGTTTCTCTAAATATCGCTTCAAATGTTTGATCTAGTTTCATTACATTTTAATTAGAATATACATTATTTTTCCTGAAGATTTTACATATAGATTTCAAGAATAATAGAAAGAAAGCTTAAGAATTCATTGGATTATATTAGGGAGCTATGTAATCAGTTTGCATCTCAAAAATGTCATAAATTTTTAAGTTATATGATAAATCAGAAAGGATTTTGTGGAGATTTCAGTATTTCCATAGTTGAAATCATGAGTCAATTGAAGCTATACCACCATGGAAAACCTGGAAGCACTGGACGGGCGTTTCGTCCTATTGTAGGACTCCTCAGTGCTTCCAGGTCTTCCATGGTGGTCTAGCTTCAATTGACTCATGATTTCAATTATGAAAATTATATGATAAATATTTATAATAATATGGTGTAAACAAAATAATCTTCGTGTTTAGGATAGATCAATCAATTTATTATATTTAAGTCTAATAACTTATATACACTTAAGCAGAGTTTGATATTATCTAATAATGATGGTTATTTACTTTTTTGAATATGACTAATGAAGTCAAGTGGTTACACTAGGATCTCAAAGTTTTATACATTTAGTTGATTACTAAATTTTATCAATAGTTCTATTCTTAACTTCATGATTTACCGGTAAACAGAATAATTAAATAGACAAATGAAAATTCAACAATCATAAAATAAATCGGAGTTGTACCACATTATTAGCTTTAGCTATATATATTAGACAAACTCTTACCTCTTGTCTATCAACTACATTTGGTGAGTTGTAGTTAAACAATGATGGTTCATATTGATGTGGAACCACCGTAAATCTGTTCTCAAAGTGAGGTATATAAACTCGATCTTCATAAGGAGATTCCTTCCTGGAAAAAGATTATATATATATATAATGTTTAGATTAAAGCTTACATTTACAGAGACTAATTTTTTTTCTGAACATTGTTCAATGTCTCTAGTTATATTAAACAATATATAAATATTCAAATGTAATCAATGGAAACAGTTTAAAATGCAAAATGAAATGATTATTCTCATCTGTTTATTATCATCTTATTTAATGCACATATGAAACATCAACAATAAAATCACCGATTGGATAGTTGTATTGAGTTTTAAAAGCAATTCTACCTGATTCCGATGGTAAACGTTTAGATGTTAATTAATTTGGAAAGTAGCAGTTTTTGTTCTCCATGTACACATATAGGAAATCAGCTACTTGATATATTTTATATAATTGAGATCATGAGTAAATTGAAGCTAGACCACCGTAAAAAACCTGGAAGCACTGGACGGCCGTTTTGTCTTATTGTTGGACTCCTCAGCAGTGCACATCCACGATAGACATCAACATCGTGGGGCGAGACTGGTAGGTCCTGAGTAGTGTATGCTACTTATGTTGACGGATAAAACTAGTATGTAAAAACGATCGGAAGTGGAATGCCTAGCATCAGAAGGTTGAGAAGATCAAATTGAAGCGAACATGAATATAAACAGAGAGTAACTGTAATAACAACAAGAATGAAGGGAAGATGAATTTTGTGAGAGGCTATTGATGGAAGATGTGCAAATTTTGTATTTAATGTACGGTTTCTATATTTTCTGCAAACATTATGTAATTTTTCATTCAATAAATAAATTAGTTTTCTCCACCTATTTTCGTTCACTACAGTGTGTTTTGTGAACGTAGAGTAATCAATAAAGTGTAATATACGTTAAACATGGTCAGATAGTACAAGAAAGTAAGACAACTGCAATATCATGTGGATTTTAAAAGGGTAAATTTCACATGTTTATCATGGGAACCGACAACGAACACTTTCATCACTGGAGTTGTGCTTAATTTGTTACATGAATTTTGGCGCCTACTTAGGACTGTACTTCCATTATTTTTAATATTGTCTAAGCTTCACTGTCAGAACATTATTTCACTATTGGTAACAATGTTTTATGTAGACGAGATTTAAGAGTCAGGGATCTACGTCGATTGATGTATGAATAACAACTGACTGTATGATGCGAAGCTATTATCTTATCGAAAATACTAATCCTAAAATGTCGAGTAAGATCCATTAGTATAAGAGGTATGGCAGATGTGTTAAAAGAAAGATAAACCGAAGGTTCTTGTGTTACACAAAATATAAACAGGTCACGCAAATATCTGTGATATATATCTCCAACTATCAAGTAATACATAACCGATATAGATTCATGGATCTCTTTGTCTAAGGGTTAAAATGACACATAGTACACTCACATACTTCACCTTTAATAAGTAGGATTAAAGAAGTATCAATGAGTAAATTGAAGCTAGATCATCACGGGAAACCTGGAAGCACTGGATGGCCGTTTCATTTTGTAAAATTATCCAAAAATTATGCATTTAATGACTTAATTGTCTTATAATACTTTGCTCATTTAAGCTTAGTTTGATACCCTGGAAGCATGGACTGAATTGTTTAGTTACTTAATTACTAACAAGTTGTAAACGTTTTATAAATTGATTTGATGAAAAGTATTATCTATAGGGTATTTTAAAAAATTTCAAGTCAAATATTGACGAAAGGACTGTCCAGTACTTCGAGGTTTTCCATGGTGATCTAGCTTCAATTGACCCATGATCTCAACTATTAAAATACTGATGTGTTCTAAAATGACTTAATAATTATCCTTTGTCATGTTGTTTACGTAATAAAGTTGAAACCTTGTTTACATCACAATCTAATGTGAATGACCTACGGAATTAGTCAGTATGTGACTTACAATATCTTGTAAGTGAGTTTGTTTCATATGAAAGTCACTTACAGATCAACTGATTGATGCTGATTTTGTGAAGATTAACTACCAATACAGTTGAGTTCATTTTTTTATCTTGTGGTCATTTGCTTTTCAGAACAGATATCGACCCCCCTGGATATATATTTGTTGTTATAATGGATTGACAGTTAAATTGTTAGTCTATTTACAGAAAGATAACGGAGAGAACTTTCAAAACTATTGCTTCATTCTCGACCAAACATCATATGTTTTTTTCATATAACGATAATTTCAGGCGTTACTTATCAACCCAAGGATCTAATAACAATTTCTAAAAATATCATAAGTTCCTAATTAAGGAAGTCAAGGTCTTAATATCTTGATCACATGCTTAGTTATTCAACTACCTTGGTATATTCCATGCATCTCCAAGATTGCGCCATAGCCTTTCATATTCATTTGTCAAATTCGATTGAATAAAAAGCACAACATAATCTGGTAATAGTGGATAAATGGTTGATTGAGCAATATTTGATCTATTCGTTTTAGGGTTTCGTGTAGCATCAACTCCATATCTAAAATAAAAGATGAATAAACAAATACAATGAATACTTATCACCGCCAATATGTATTGTTCAAACCTTTGAAAAGAACTTATAGACTGAAGTGTGTACGTTTGTTGATACATTGACATTGATACAAATGCAAGTTAGCCTAAACTGCCACATAATGATATCTAAGTGATAATTGGCTCGTTCCAGTAATATTCATTTAACGCTTGACATGATTTGTTTTATAGTGCGGTTTCTGGATACTAGTTCTATAATTTTCGAATGATTATTTTGGACTAAATTATATCGACAAAATAACATTATATACGCTTCTATTCTAGTTATTCTGGTCATAAGTTTTACGTTCGCTTAGTGGAAACAATTTTGATGATTTATCAATAATGGTTCTATATTAGGTAGGTTATTTAAAGATTCATCGTTTCAGTAACGATTTTTGAATTACCATGAATAAAACTATAAAATGAAGACTAGTTTATCAATGATGCAGCATTAGTAACAGATAGTTGAGCTGTTTAGATGGTTTAAACAATTTATGTAAATTATCAAAATAACCTTCAGGTAATGTAAATCATATTGGTCATAAACAATCATGACTTTATCTACTTAATTATTAACTGCTAATGTATAATGTACTTATTTACTTACTTTAAAAATTCAAATAGTTGTCTTGTCAAGTGAGCAGCATTCGGATCTACAAGATAGTCTTGAAGTCTAGCCAATAGAATACATGCAAACTTCAGTTTTTCAAAGAAATCAACAGCACATTTTTTCACAGGTTCATCCAATTCAGTGGTTGAAGCTGAATAATGTAGAGAGTAAGAAATTTTATTTAATAGAGAAATCATGAATTATAACATTTGAATGAAGTTATAGAAATACATTTATGCAAACTAGAAAAATTCTGGACATTGTTTACTTGGCTGAGTGAAGATAATAAAGCTGTTCTTTTTTAGTGTATAAGAATATAATCTAGTCACTCAACAACTAGTGTACTTAATAGGTCTAAACACTTTTAATAGATTTAGCTGTTATTTCATTGTCGTCTATCCTTTTCTATCTGTATTTACCCATTTCATCATCGTTAGTATCAAGAGTAAATGACACTGAATCTATGCTTCGTACATCTCATTTTATTTTAGTTTTTCTTTGTCAACGATGGTTCTAACCTCTTTTGTAGTGGACCTAATAAATTGAATTAAATCCTCTAATCTTTCATGATTTGACTGCAAGGAAATTAAGCTCTACATTTACTCTCGCTGTATTCATTTGTCCTTTGAGCAACTCTTATGGACTTTTCTGGACAATCTGTAGAGAATTTAACGAATTATTTAGAAAAAACAGTCACAGTTGAATACTGTTAGTTTGTTGTAAGTGTATTCGGACTAAGATTATCAGATTTTCTGTTTGTTATATTGTGAATAAATAATTAGCTGTATTTGAGCTTTCATTTTTTTCTTTATGTTTCACTTCATTTGCTCTAGACGACGAGCAATTACACGTATGTTCAACCCTTCTTTAGTGTTGACTGAATTTGTTTGATTATGTTGCAATGTGTCCACTATTATAGGTCGCGTGACATCCCGTCCACTATGCTCAGTTTTCTGTCCAATACACTCAGTCACGACCTAAAACAACGTTAGAAATCTTATTTGACGTTCAAATAAAATGATCATACTTCAAGAAGTGTAATGATATATTTAATTTACAACGATTAAAATCTATAAATTGGAGTGTGAACTATAAGTAATTATATTAATGTAATAAAGAATCCTGATCTATAGTTAATAAAGGCAGTTGTGGATATTCATAAATTCAATAGCTTACATCACAAACACATGTCATATAGACAATCAGTGGAAACTAGGAAACACCAGACAGCTGTTTCAATCTAGTATGGTACTCATGAGCAGTGTGCACCCACAACCCTACTAGGGACCTCTAGCTGTAAAACCTTAAGGTCCTGGGTTCGGTTCACGATAAGGTCTTGGGCATCCCTTACTAAGAAGTTTCATGCTACAACGAAACATATCCACTGACTCTTGGTTTTTTATGGTTGTTTAACAATGGTCTATCATTATGAAACTAACTAGTAAAATACCAATTTTTATAACAAGCTACCAGTTTCAAAAAGCATATTTCTATTTTTTTTTATTGAAAAAGAGGGGAATAACTTATTTACTCTAATCAATAAATTTATTGTACAGAATAAATAAATTTTCAGACTCAATAAAAGGAAAGAGCTATTGGCTTGAATTTATCGGCTTTGTATTCTAAATACGCACTTCACAATTCGTGTTATGAAATAAATACTATTCTATAGGAGAAATGAAGAGAATTCACCAAGGACATATTAGATGTTTAAATAGATACTAAAGTTTTCAAAGAACTAAAAAAACAAACATTTTCTCTAATGGAAATGTTGATAATTACATTCGATAGTCGTTAGCGACTTATTAAGAAATATGATGTTGATGACAATATACTTTGTCAATGACCTTCAGGGAACCTTAAAGTAACACTGAGCCAAAAAATTTCAGTTTCACCTAATCATAGTACAGTCGATATAAATGAGTAATTTATGGAAAACGCATAAAAAATTAAAATATGTTCATAAGTCTTATAAGATTGATAAATTAATTAAGGTTCTCAGATAGATGTTCGAATTGAAGATAATAGCGTTTGGTATATATGAACTCATTTATATGACTCCATGTCATTTAACCTTTGGAGCTTTATATCTTTTAAGGGAGTTCCTCAAACTCAACCACATGGCTTTTATCTTAATAATGGTATAATCACGTACTTTAAGGTCCAAAAATGACTCTTATTTACTACTACCTGATGATTAGGACAATGTCTGTGGTGATACCTCTGAGATCCCCAATCATATACGCATATTGTTGTCCGGAATTGAGTATACGTTGTGATAAGGAGCAATAATATAGGAGTTATCCGATCACGAATGTATCGTGACTTTTTTATAACGTTCTACGTCATATACAGAAAAACTAATAATAAAATTGAAAGGCTTCTATTTATTTATTTATTCAACTTCAATATTCCGACGTCTACTATAATTTCTTTTTCTAAAAACTAATTCATATATCATCCAAAAATCTCAATGGAACAGGGTTGAATTTAATAGTATTAAGGGCGAATGTCCTTACAATAAAGGTACCAGTGCATTGCTATAAATTAGGCTTCATCATTCAGAACAACACGAAGTGTAACAGATTTCTCCAAAATGTGTTGAACGACGAACATTACGATTTACTTATATGGGAGTCTCGAAGGTGTGAACAATACACCGATCCATATAGACTTTTTATATCCAATAAATATTACTACGTATAACTTTTATCTCTCAGTTCCATTCATTCTCTGTCAGATATCTCATGTCCATAAGCACATATAAAGTCATTTCTAAGCAATATGACTTCTTGTAAATTGTGTACTAAAACATCAATATAAAATACAATACTACGTTAGCATTCTTGTTTGAAATATATACTGTGATCTTGAAATCGCTATCTGCTATCTGACTAATTTGCCAGCAGTGTATACTTTTACGGAATATGATTTTTAAATAATAACCTAAACTAACATTTATTTTGATGGTATTATCGAGTTTAATAAAATTAACTTGATCATATAAAGTTATAACAGAAAATATTAGTAATAGTAAGAGATCTACTACTTTGTTATGAATACCACTGATTACCAAGTATGTATGTAGTTCATAGTGAATCACATGTATACTTTCAACAGATTGACTCTCTCTATATAATTATTATTGTAGAAAAATCGGTTTTCACAAAACGTTTATAAAGTGAATGAACTCACAAGATGTTTGATTCACATTAACACTTGAAATTCGACTTTTTGATTTACTCGATGTAGCAACAGATGCTGATGATTTAGTGAACTGTCGACTTGTTCTGCTTTTTAAAATTTTGTAATTTGATTCAATGTCATCAAAGCAGTGATTTAGAAGTGCAACTTCTAAGTCAATCCATTCACGATCTATTCAAGTATAAAGCAATAGAAAAATCACATAAGTTTGATTCAGATCACTTTTTATAATAGTATAAAGCTAAGGTGTCAGTTTCAAATGAGACAATGAAATAGTTATTCCACAGATATATGACATTCAAACAACAGAATATCAAACTTAACATATATTTTATGTAAATCCAAATAATCTTTTATATGGTACTGTCCTTGATTATGAAGTTAGAATAACTATGGATGTTAACAACAGGAAATGGTCTTACATTATTATGAAGGCATATGAGTATTTCATGTATAAAATGAAAATCGTATGGTGCTTCACGTTGAGTGATAGGAAAACCTGGATGGATCTTCATCCAGGTTAGTATGTACCATCAAAATGTATCTATGATCTTGAACTACCTAATCGTCTCTGTAGAGTGTAAACTCACAAGATCTTTTGTCGTAATCCAAACTAAGATTAACCTCATATGTATGACTGAAGATCTTGGGTAGTAACCAATAACATGCTATCTAATCTTTATTACTCACCTAATTCTAGCTATGTAGTTTCAGAGAAACTACTAGTTAGATTTAATTGACTTTATTTTAGTCCTCGTTGAATGTTAAAAAATTTGGATTCTGGAAGGGTAACTCAAGAATCTGCTTATTTAGCTTTCATTTTTACCTTAAATTTTAATCTTAATAAACACTGTATCAATGCTGATTAACCCATTATCAAAGTTTCCAACTTATAAATGTTCATTCAAGAATGAAAGCGAATCTAGAGTTGGTTGCATTTAATTTCCCGATAGGAATGAGTTGAAGATGCTATTAAGTACACTTAGATGTTTTACTTACACCAAGTAGGCAACAGAATAAATTAAATTCAGTATATTGTAAAGTATCTTATTATGTCTTTGTAAATAAAGAATGAACCTATATGTCTATTGTATCAATGAATTTAAATATAGCCACTATAATTCCACATTGTACGGAATAATTTGTAATTTGAAGCTGTAAACATATTTGATTCTTTTGTTATACAACAGTACAACTATTTTCAGAGAACAAGTTTGTTTTTATTATATATATATATATATATATATATATATATATATATATATATATATATATATATGAATGTAATAAGATATCCAATGAGATTATAATGAGTCCATCTTAATTCCTTCATTTCTTAGACTTACTTACTTACGCCTGTTCCTCCCAATGAAGCATAGGCCGCCGACCAGCTTCCTCTAATCCACTCTGTCCTGGGCCTTCCTTTCTATTTCTATCCATTTTTCGTTCATTCTTCTCATGTCTGTCTCAATTTTTCAGCGTAATGTGTTCTTTGGTCTTCCTCTTCTCCTTTGACCTTCAGTACTCCATGTAGGGGCTTGTCTTGTGACGCAGTTGGGTGATTTCCTTAAAGTGTGTCCTATCCACTTCCAGCGCTTCTTCCTGATTTCTTCCTCCACTGGAATCTGGTTTGTTCTCTTCCACAGTAGAATGTTGCTGATGGTGTCTGGCCAACGAATCCGAAGCACTTTGCGTAGACAACTGTTGATAAACAGCTGTATCTTCTGTATGATGGCTTTTATAATTCTCCACGTCTCCGCCCCATACAGTAGAATTGTTTTGACATTTGTATTGAAAATTCTGATCGTGGGGTTGGTTGAAAGTTGTTTTGAGTTCCAGATGTTGTTTAGTTGTGAATATTCTGCTCTTGCTTTGCCGATCCTCGCCCTCACATCTGCATCTGATCCACCGTATTCATCGGTGACGCTGCCCAGATATGTAAAGGTTTTCACATACTCCAGAGCTGCTCCGTCATGTGTAATTCGATTGGTGCATGCTCATATCAAATTATAGGATAATGGAAAATATTTGAAGTTCAAGTGGAGACTTTTAACACTGCTGAGTTGTCCGTACTAGATCGCATAATTACAGAAGTTCCGCTTTCGCTCTGGTAAATATCATCAGTACTTACTACTACATCTAGTTTAAAGAACTCAATAATACCAAAAACACCAATTCTTGAAAATTTGGTTTTTCATGTTTTTATTTTACAATTATTATTATTTTGGTATCGTTTAAGTGAATATTTATAGAATATTCTTTTGACACAACCATATTTGTAGTAGAAAGTCTAGTTGTTAGGATACATTAAAGTTCTTTTTTTTTCTATCTGCTTTCATGTCAAATTCATCTTCCTCTTTGTTCTAATGTTATCGATATGATTTTTATAATTTAAACCACGAACTGATCTCAGCTAGATCACCATTGTTACTAGGGTTCATTGGATGACCAGTTTATTATTTAAACTATGAAAATTCTATAATCTCCACAAATTCCCTTATATTAAAAATAAATATCCTTGAAAGTTATTTTTAGCTCTTTTATGATGCTTCTAATATATATTTTAAGGTCATGGCAAAATGAATTGTACCAATTAAACAAGGTCAAAAGGTCAGTATGTGATTAACTCGACACTTCAGTGACTATTCATATCTCTATAGTATTTTAATATTGATCAAAGGTGGATATGGTTTGTTTCTTTATCAAGTTAATAAAGATACCAGTGAATCTGGTGATGAAAAGCACAACAGTATTTTGAGATGATGAAGAATATTTGTAGCTAAATATTGGTTCTTCAATTTCATACAACATTATTGCTTAATATACTTAATTGAATTGATCAACTTAGTAAGATATCAGTAAAATATAATTAGTAAAATATGGGAATAATTGTTAACAACAATTTTTTTTAACTAGTTTCCTTACTGATTTGTGATTCACTATATACACTATCCTCTTTGGTAACCGTTGGTGGAAGTTGATATCCACCTGAACTTGTTTGCAACGGTATCCTTAGATTTGGTTCAGATGGAGCCCTGGATATTAGCATGGAGTCATTTACACTGTTAGAGGAAATAAAAAAATAAAAAAAATTAATTGACAGTTGAAACATATTTATTTTACAGAGGCTATTTTGCATAAAAATGGAGCAATCGAGATGAACGCGTGAAAATATCAAAGATATCAAAAATAAAAAAAGATTTCTATACGTTACGACACGTTTAAATAATCAGTGTGTTGACATAGATAACAACTACTTTGTCCACTTTATCAACTGTACATTTATAATCTCATCATCTGAGGTTTTCCACTAGCCTATAATCCGTACCTATTCAGCTCGAAAGTCATTATAATTTTCACTCTTTGTTTAACTGATTTCAATGACCTTGTTTTTCTTGGCATCATTTCTTTTTATTGCTTTGTTGCCAAATGAATGTCCTCTCATCTCTAATTAATTAAGTTTAATTTATGTGCCACATATTATTTCAAATACTGTATACAGTAAATGTGAACCAAACAATAAAAATGAATTTGTATAGTGTTTGTAAAATTATTTAAATGATTATATTGGAATAGCAGTTAATAACAGTTTAATAGTCACTTATTTGTTAACAATACAATAAATCATCTATCCAACTATGTACAATAGTGTTGAATTTCTTATTCTGAGGCTTAAATTAATTATAAACTTAAGTATTAACTTGGAACATGCAACCCACAGATTGAGAGATTCCACCTTCAATATAGTGAATATTTTTAATTGATTCTAACTATAAAATCTAATAATAAAGAGTCCCATACAAAGATAAAAGATCAACAAAGTACTTCTCAAATTCACTTAGTATTGTTTGTTTGAATCTTCCCATTGATGTTTAGAACTGCAATTGATCAGTCTCTTATTGGCATATATGCATACTGTGCTTGTTGCTTCGATATTGCCTTAATTCGCAACCATTATAGGCAAAGATGGATAGTGGCTAGCAGTGGAATCCAGGACGCGCGTTTCGTCCTATTTGAGACTAGTCAGCTGGATGTACTTGCATCTCAAAATTGATGTCCATTCTGGGATTCGAACCCAGTACCTTTCGCTTCAAACGCCATCGCGTTATCCACTCAAGTAATTCTTAGCTACATTCAGTCTCTGATATAAACTATAGAGTATTTAAGTAGGCTGAATAAATGGTTTCAAATTTTTGTAAGTTTGAAAATTATTAGTTTCACAATGGCAGTTTATTATTAAAGGAAATAACTGATCACTTCATACATAATTATCAGTTTTCAGCTGAATAATTCTAATGTATATTAATTCTTAATACATTTTAAATATTTAATTTGATTGTGAATTATTGATATTGAACTTGACCTAATTTGAAATCAGTATAGTTGAACACTACCACAAAGAGTTTATATATTTACAATATAGATTGTTCAATTGAAATCTACTTTTTGTTTTAAAAATTTTTATTCAAGTCAAATTATGAATAACTAGTTGACAGTTAATATTTATTTATTTCCTATTTTGAAAACAAAACAACACCATGTATTATGAGATGATGGGAAAGATTTGTAGCTCAGGTGGATGATTTTGATAGAGTTTTGTTTTGTGAGCTACATGGTGTCGTCGTGGAGCTTTCATTGTTCTTCTGAACAAACTTCGGGTAGAAGTGTTCGAATTTTTCCAGAAGTTGTGAACCACGTATGGAGAAATTCGAATGCTTCACTCCTACCTGAAGTTTGTGCTGGTGATAAAAAAAAAATAAAAGCTCCACGACCAAACCATCCTGCTTACAGAACAAAACTCCATCAAAACCATGTATTATCTTCATTATATTGACAATTGAAATTGGATATGATGTATTTATTAAATTACCATAAAATATAAAGATAACTATATAACCATATTTCATGCCAAATTTCTATTTATCAATACATATGGAAGTTGTTTAACTGATTCACAGATTAACGTATTCGGTAAATAATATGACCTTTTCTATTTCATTTCATTAGTTCACAAACAAAATGACCTCCGAACACTTATTCTATCGACGAAAAAAATACCGTTTATCAATAAAGTTTATGATATTAAACGAATTCTCATATTGATAAATAAATAATATTTACCCTTTTCTTATAATAATCAAACCACAAAAATACACTTACTCTTGATCATATGAATCATGGTCTAGAGCTCCAGCTCTCAATAAAAGATTGACAAGTGTTTGAGCAGGACAAGTTAAAACCTACGTGATAATATGTAGAAAACTGAATTATGCAAATGTGAGTTTATAGTTTGCAAACAATGTGTCAATAAGTCTGTTACAATTCATATTTTCTTCGTGAAATAATAAAATTTAATCATTAAGTATGTTAGAAACTATGAATTCTACACCTGGTTCGGTAAGACATAATGAAATTGAAAATCAATATTATTCATCTCATATAGTTTGAGATAGATAAAAGGTATTGTCGTGAACGATAATACAAGTGGTGTCAATGGAATGTATGTGAACACAAAATTACAGAATTTCATAGTAAAATCTGTGAATCATACAGTAAATACTTAATTGGCAAAATGTTAATCAATCATCCGAGACTTCACTGTTCCTTCATTTCCATACCAATTGCTTTCTGTTCCTGTTCTTTATTCTTGATCATCTCTACCTTCTGCTGCCAGACATTTTATTCATGACTAGCGTTATATAGTACTTATGTCGATATAAGTAGCACACACCACGATATGAGAAAAATGTAATGAGAATGGAAGTTACAAACCAACCGACGGGTTTAGCAGACATTTTAGAACAATGTTCTAATGTCCAGAAGGAAAACGATTCATTATCTTTTATTACAAATCACTTTCATGAAGGTAAAACGAAATTCTACTAGGCAATACAAATTAAAACCATGTCAAATTACAACCAATATAACACAGTGGGACATCAGCGAGACAAAAGAAACAGTTTTTTTAGACATGCATATAATTCGGGGAAGAGAACATTTTTGTCCTTGTTTAAACTTATTGGGAGACTGGATTATATAAAAAATTCATTCTTTTTACTGAGCAGTTAACTTTCTTTATATTTAGAAAATCTACCAGTAGCATAAAGATTACAAACAAGTACAAATAGTACTATGTTAATGTAGTGCATAATCAATTGGATATAATGATTTTCTTGTCAAAATCTTATTAATGTTTTTTCTTTCAAAAACCCGTAACTAATATCACACTAAAAATGTGTTTTAAGAGAAGATGTATGCTCGGAGCTTCGCGGTTTTCAGGAGTAGTTTATAATCAGTCTGTGATGCATACTACTAAGTAATCCACAAGAAGTTTCAAAAAAGAAAATTTCTGATAAATTAGAAAACTCTTATTAGAAAAGTTAATGTTAAAGTCAGCTGTTAGAAAGAAAAGCGTGCTTCAGGTCGACGTCTCACTACAATGGAAGATCTCTTAATTAAGTTTAGGTATCATGAGGTTAACATTGGCCTGTCAATCATAATTTGACAGTTTCTAGCTTACGCACTAATGACAGATATTATTTGCGAAGTATCAACCTCCACTGTATCTAGTAACCTAGTTATCTCTAATGAATTGATGGGTAGAAATTGTACAGATTTAGAATTAGAAATATTGAACGTATGTTTAAGTGATCAATTTTACTGATTAAGGAATATTTCTCAATGCATCAGGGAGCAACTTCAAGTATGATGCTATAAAGTACAACATAAAAATTTAAATTCATCTTGAGATGGTGGAGAAGATTTGTAGCTCAGGTGGATCATCTATTTTGTTGTTGGTAATTGATCATATTCAAATAACATTGGACCTATAGTTATTTACGAGATAAAGCTAAATCTACATAAATCTTTATATTTACATCTTGAAAAAGACCTAACTGTACAAAATCTAAGGTCAAATTTTTATGATCGTAAATAGTTTTTGTGACTGATGTTGTAGTTTACCTACAAACTTTTAATGTTTTTGTATTTATTTCTTTTTGGCTTTAAGTTTTGTGAAATTCTATGCTTCTTAATCAGTTTTTTCTCTAATTGTTATAATCAGATTATCGTCTTTGATGAATTTCTTCTTTTATTTATCATGAATTTTATCAACCTACTCAGTAAAGGAATAACACTATTATTTTTTCAAATTCATTTGTGTCTTTGACCTTTAATGTTCTATAATTCTGATAGTTTCAGGTCGCTTTATTGATTTTACTTTCAAACCTTCATGTTAGAAAACAAATATGTTACCATACTACCTATTTTATAAAAGAACATACAGCTGTGTCTCTCTTAGACATAAAATCGATGAAAGTAAATTCCCTTCTCATAAATCTAAGTGTTCAACTATTCAGTGAGTCATCCTCTTACTATATATATATATATATATATATATATATATATATATATATATATATATATATATATATATATATGCGAACCTATATATTGTAAGGGTTTCGGTTTCGTGATTGTGTTCCTTCAAAGGTTTTAAGTACGAGAAACCACCTAAATATTTAATAATTTAAAACAGAAAATTCCAGCTAATTTAAATTTCATTCATATTTTTTAAAGAACGAAATAAAGACATAATTTGTTAAGTTACTTGAAATAAATGTATTTCGTTACGTCCTGGACGTCCATTGTCCATTGAACCAGCTTTGATAGTGAATGTGAGTAGATTGTTTACTGGACACACATCTGGAGGAGTTATTCGATAGCGAGGATAAAGTATACGACCAATTCGGAAACGTTCAACTTCAGCCTTTATAATCAAATAAATAAATTGAGTGTTTAAGGTCTTTTGATAAATTAAGGCCATAAGTATAACCTCTCTAATGTAATCGACGTCTACATATTAGTAAACCATTTGCTTTCAGGAAATGTAATTTTTCTTAAAAATTGTCTTTGGTTAAATTTGTTAAACACAGTTTTATTGATATGTCAAGGAGGAATTATTAACAACAACATATGTCAGTTTATTGAATAATTGTGAAAAAAATTAAAAATCCACCCCCTCTAGTCAGAGTATTTCAAAGTTTATCGGGGATTTGAAGGAAACGTTTATGATGATAATTGGGCACAGAGCATTCAATTTTTCGTCCATATAGATACACGATTATTATTAAATATCTATTAGTCTAATGATCTAGTCACAATATGTCCCATTACACTAAAAAGCAGATGGCAAATCTATCAAACTCATTTATTGACTTCTTAACTTTAATTACGACTGAATAGTTGATTCGATAAGAAAAGTGATGTATGTTAATGATACTTGAATTCACTTAGTATTTTTTGTTTGAATCTTCCCATTGATACTTAGGACTACAACTGGTTAGTCAGGACTCGTTAGCTGAGTGGATTACGCGATGGCTTTTGAAGCGAAAGGTACTGGGTTCGAATCCCAGAGTGAATATCAACTCTGAGATTCAGGTACATACAGCCGACGAGTCCCCAATAGGACGAAACGCACGTCCTGGATTCCACTGCTAGCCACTATCCACCTTTGCTTATCTGATACTTATTTATTTAAAGTGATTTGGTGTTGTTCGATTGTGTAATTCCACATTATTGATGAATAAAGAAAGTTAATAGGTAAATTGCTTGTCTATTCAGTTACGGTTGAAATCAATTGATCGATCGACTTTGATCAATCCATTTTCATTAAAATAACCCTAAGATACTATACTTTTGAAGTTACTGAGAAAAATAAAAAAAGCAATATGAAGTTCACATTTTCTTTTAGAAAAAAAATCGATTGTTTGTTAAATTTTTTTTCTGTTTTTTTGTTTGTTTCCAAGTACAAAAGTATCACGTAATATATAAATAGTTTTATAATGAGATTATAAATAATGTGATTTTCTATCTCAATATTAATTTACTTGTATACTGATTTAGATGAATAAGACGCCTTCGATACTAATGACATAGTTGACCTCGAAAAGGTTTGTTTACATTTTTTAATGAGTATTTTGTTAGAATATAAAATGTATGTTTATCATAAATGAGCCAAAATAATAATATGCCAATTTGAATAGGTAGGTTATTCTTTGTTTAAAAAGAATATGTACTGATTATCTTTGGTGATTGAATAAGAGGTATTTTATTATGTTGTTGATGAATTAAAATAAGTAGTATTTGCCTAGAAAAATGTTTATATATTTTAAGAAATTGTATGAAATACCTAAGAAAATAATAAAATATCAACAATCTGTTTTTGATTTATTTATATTGGTTGTTTGAATCTTCCCATAGGACTGCAATTGATCAGTCTCTTATTGGCATATGTGTATCATATGTGGATTGTATCGATATTTCCAATAATTCATATCGATTATGAGCAGAGTTGTGCATACGAACTCAATAGGTAAGTGGATGACGAGACTGCATTTGGAGTGGATGTCAATGGGTCAGAGTCCCTCGGTGAATATGAACTCTGGGATGCAAGCATATCTAGCTGCCGAGTGCCAGACAGAACAAAACGCCTGTCGGGAATTTCAATGCTTTCCGCCATTCGTTTCTGTTTATAATCTGTATTTAATTGCATATAATCCTAGTGTACATGGTAAAGGTGGAGTATGGGTACGAGGCAATCGGAATCAAGAAAACTACAAATGGGATTTTGTCTGAAACTCGAAAATTCATGACTCTGATCTTACATTATATAAAGTAAGCAACAGAAATTTCTTTGTATAAGGCTTGAAACGTTTAAGATTACAAAAAAATTTTTTGTCACCAGAAAGTAGGAAACATGGTGTAAATGTATCGAATGGTCAATTCTTTCTATGTAGATTTTGTATGATAGGAAATCAGTCTTATCTCTGAACCGAAGTCCTAAATTCTTAATTCTAAACCTAACTGTAAATCTTAGAACAGTGACTTTAAATTATTAACCCTAAAATCTGACCGGGAACAACTTAAGGACTCCTAAAAATCTTTCCCAGCCCTTATAATGGTTCGAGAAGACAGATGCTCTATTTTATTATGGACAATTTACAAGTAGAACAACCCATTAAAGACCTGAATCGATCCATTTATTATGTGAAATTCATGTACCATTTAAATATAATGTTTTTTTTTCAGAAACCATCCATTTACAATCATTATTTCCTGATCGCCTGTCCATAGGCAAACATTCGTCGCTGTCATCTTATGCTGACCCCTTTTCCATACTCTTGGTAAAATAATATGGGATCGTCAGCAAATATACAGAAAATTGTACCTTAGTTCATTCAAATAATTTTAATTTAATTTTGTCTCTAAAATTTATACCTTTATGACAGAAGTTTCAGTAATATGTCAAGAATAAATCTCCTTGTAGAAGTAGACGTTTTCTTTTAAATCCATAAGACTAATTTTACATAATAATAATAATGAAGCAGCTTTAATTATCACAGTTACTAAATTTTTAGGCAGTATTCTGCAAAGCTTCCCTGTCTTTGTCACTATTGATGTACTTCGATTAAAGTAATGAAACTAAAATTCAATTTTAACACCACTGATCAAAGTACCTCCATGATTTTTAAAAATATTACTTTGTGTGTTATGTAAAGAAACTTACCGATTTCAGCAAGCCTTAGAGTAAATTAATCAAGCTTATTTACTTTCATTGTGTGTTCTCTATTGATCGTATTACATTTAGGGATAGTAATGCGACATTACACCTGTGGGATTAAGTCATTTATTTTCGAAATCGAAAGATTCAGTAATCTCTATGTGAAATGATCATTACTGTAAAAGCGGAAGCCATTATGATAATACAATCCGCTCATTGCCATATTTTCTCATTTACATCTCAGTACTTTACTGTATATGTTTGCAGTGGCGGATTCAACCACTAATAGTAACATCAGTTATGTGGTAACATACGGTAATTTTATAGTCTAAATCTTTCTTTATAAATGATGTAAAATGTAGATATCTACTATCGTCAATCATGAATCATAGATATATGGCCGACTAAAAATTTACACTTCTACTTATTTAAATAAAATAATGACATTTTAAAATATTTCTTTCATCAAAACGGGATATATTTACTTCCGAACAAATGTAATTATGCCAGTGTAATGGCATCAGTGGGAAACAAAATATTTATTTCTTGCAAAACGTCTCTGAAAATCTAATAAAATTACAGTATGTGACTGACTTCAATAAGCATTTTGATAATGAAGCATATAATAATAGACTTACATCTCCATTACGTGGATCACTTAGAATGAGATATGGTTCACCATCATTGTCATCGATTGACATATTAAAACTACGTACATATGTGTAACATCCTTCCAACAGTAAGTCGACAGCAGTTTGTGTGTTTGGTAATACATTTGTAGGAGTAACCTCAAATGTTCGCAGGTGTTGTACTTTATACGTTTTTAAATGTCTGGAATTGTTTCTATTTCCATTCATTTTCTTATGTATTTCTGAAAAGATATTTAAGAGTTATATATATATAATCATATTTTCTTGTGCCGGGAAATAGAAGCAGATATGAAAAGGGTTAATAACAACTGGAAAGAACTGGAAAGGATTGCCCCGGACAGAGTTGGATTGAGAATGCTGGTGTGCGGCGTATGCTCCTCCACGAGGGGTAACAGGCGTAAGTAAGTAAGTAATTTTGTTGTGCCGCATGAAATGATAAGGTGAAAAATTCTAATGAAGATAAGATAAAGTTTTCAACATGTATTTAATACTCCATAGGATACCATATTTATCATCTCAGAATAAAAAGTGCATTAGATAAGTAAAAATGTCATGGTTTATTAATTCTTATTTTTTTATCCTCTAACTTTGTACAATGATTATTTAGTTCGTTTTGTAGATACTACTTAAAATATTGAAGTAGTATACAAAATGAATATGCACATTAGTTGACATCCAATTTATTGTAAATTAAGTCTCATATTCAATAATAAAAACAAACTGTGCTTTTTACAAATATTTTTAGTTTTCAGTTATTGATTATATATTTTTAGTGTGAGTGATTTTACTCAAAGTACACTAGACTGAAATACTTCTGAAATAATTGTTAAATCAATACTTCAAGAATGTGACGTATTGATTACTTGCTCAATGTAACTAAACGTTAACCCAAAAAAAACACAGTTCTTAAAATTTTGATGAAGATCATGCGTTACATAGAATGATGCATATTTTAAAGTTACCACTTATTTGTCATACAAGTTATCTAAGCAAAGAATAAAAATAATTTTGGCATAAATCATAAAGCTAATTTAAAGATACCGTTTTCATAGATTACTAACCTAATTCTACTTTAAATGAGGATTAGCACTCTAATGCAAATCAAGAAAGTGCTCATAATACAAAGTTTTAATCTGTATAAAATTTTATTTGCCATTGAAATTATCTACTGTTGTGTACAAATGTCCTTGGTTCGAGTCCAGAGTGCGAGATCGTGTATCAGCACTGTTGAGGAGACCCATACTAGAACGAAAAGGCCGTCCAGTGCTTCTAGATTTTCAATAATAGTCTAACATCTATCGGTTAATGATTTTAAATGAAATAATTTAAACAGGACTTAGTGTATCTTTTATAATCGACTAGTAAAGAAACATCACTGATGTGATCAGAATAGAAAAAAATAGTATTTCACTGTTATGAGGTACATAATATAGCATAACTACTCTGCGACATTGGTTTCACACAGCAGCAAAACTCAAGTTATCACTTCTCAATTTTTAAAAAAATCTTTCGGGCCATTTTGTGTTGTGAACAGAGACTAGCGAACAACTGTTTACATAATCTTTAGTGAGGTAGTAAACTATTTTGCAACAATGTTTGATAAGACTCATGATATTGCCATTCTCACTACTTTTGGAGGGACTGTATAGTAGTTACCACGGATTTTCTGAAAACGATCCTCAACATTACATGTCATTTACCAATGTTTACAGTCCGTTAACAGGACATAAGTTGAATACTTGATTTATAGTAACATCTCCAATCGTCAGTATGTAAAATTTCAGTATGGTTGCCTTGTATTTGCATATGGGTTGCAGTCAGTGGCAAAGGCAGATATGTGAGCACGTATATCGTCCAGGATAGGAGTCGGTCCTAATGTAAATCTGTAGTTCGTATCGGAAGTGTGCTAAAGAACAGAGGACTTGAAACATGATACATATTTAGTTGATTGCAGTGGTACAGTCTGGGGATAAATAGTTCACAGTTCTTTTTAGTGATTAAGAGTATGGAGATCTCACTGCTTCATAGCACAGAAAACCCGAAGTTAAAATGTTGGCTTTGTTGCCGTTGCCATTTTTTTTAACTTTATCGCTTTAAGAAAAAATTGTTTTAAATGTGGTACTTAATGTCATACTCAGTCTAAGTATAGAATTAGATAGAGGAATATCGACCGTTCACGTAATTTTAAAATATACAGTAATTTGAATGTGCTTTAAAACCTCCGTCTAATACAAACTTATTTTTTCAACACAAAGAGTGGATTTTCCTACTGAAACAATATTTGTTATAGTTTGCTGGAAGGCTTAATCTATTAAGTGGCAGGCCTATATAAGGTCTGATATCAGTGTTATCCGATAAACAGCGTGGTCAAAATGGGTCGACCAAGGTTATCCCCTACCCTTGGTAATAAGACGAGCTAGTCTGATAGAAAAATCTTTCTCATACGAGGAAGTGTCTCTAAATTCCAACCTAAATGATAAATAAGTGATGGGAATATACTATATATAAGAACTGTTATATTAGTTTGAGGGGAATCGAACTAAAAGAGAAAGTGAGATATAGGGACTTCTCTTTTAATACAGTTTATGATATGGTAGATTCGTTCGTGTCTCAATCCCTTTCCAGTGTTGCTAAAATATTAAACCAGAAAAAACCATTCCTCTTGTGTCAACATCACTAGAAAAAGAGATTAAAAGAGTATTCCGTAATGAGATGGAAGTTTTCCTTATAAAATTTGCACTGGTAAATGAATCATCAACAGCAGATTTTATTTTGAAAGTAAAAGGAGAGGTTAGTATCGAAGTCTTTATAATAGTTTTCTATGTTATAATGAATCCTATATAACCCATAGAGACCAGATAGTACATTAAAAGCTGTGATAATATTTGGCCATCTCACGAAAGGGCTTCTTGTTGTTTCACGTTTTGAAGATAAATTAAATGGAACACTTATATCTGTAAGAAATAGCCGTATAAAGTTTCATGAATTTATGGTACTCAACTCAGTAACTGGACGTGATTTTTTCACAGGAAGACCTCAACGAATACGTATATGGGTAAAAGATAAACTAAACAAAATATGATATTAAGTGATGATAAGAAATACGATAATCATGAAACGCATAAATCAGCTTCAGAGTAGAAAAAATGCTGGTCATTAATTACATGTTAAACCATTAAATATGATAGTTATACATGAAATATTTGAAATATAAGTGAATAAACCGCGGTTGGATGTTAGAAAAAAAAACAATCACACGAAAAAGAGACGACTGTTCTACATGAAGGCAAAGACAAAATCCCATGTTTAGTGTTAGAGAGGAAGATAATGTGACCATCTCAAGTGACTTGTGAGATTATCCAAGGAATGTGAATGGTAAATTAACTAGAATATCATTTCGTATTTTGATATGCGTTTTTTCCTATAAATTTTTGTTCTGGTCTGTTATCTGGCTCTCTAGTGAAAATTCAGATTACTTAGAGCAAGTGTCTCACGTGGTTGAGTCGATACAAGATCATAACACTAATCAGTGTTAGAAATATTTTATTTACTTTTCATTTAATCCATCTACAGACGAACTATTAAGACAGTTTTTCTTTTTCATAAAACATTGCGTTTACCTGTTGCTCATGTTAATAACTGAAGATGATCAGTCTCTATCGAGATATATGAATCCGGATAGGTGTACCCCAATATTACTAACTAGTCACAAGTTTCCATTAAAGTTAAATAGGTTGTAGTGTTGGTTGTGTTTAAAATTTAAATTAAGGTTTCATACATAAAGAAAACTGTAAGTAATCTAATGTTCATCCTAAAATAAAATGCAAGTGAAATTTTTTGACCGCTCTCTCAAAAACTGAACTAGAACAACATTACGTGAAAACAACATAATCATTGTAAGAAAGAAAGTACACTTTTAGAAATGTAGGAAATAAATTATCTTCATAGAGTTGAGCGCATTTCCATATACGAAACTTATTTTACCATACTTATACAAACTTAGATATTCTTTTTGGATTATACTATGATAGAAACAAAAATTCTTTTGATACTTTATTGTTTTTTTTTGTCATCTAGGTGATATCAGTCTGAGATGATTACCTTTTTTTTTAAAAAAAAACAACGTTTATAATTAAAAATCGTATGACATGAAATAGAAATAATATATTTGTATCATCTCAGCGAATGAATTTGAAGTAAATCCAACGTTTCGCTTGGCAATCTAGTCCCAGCTTTTTCAAGGCACTATCTTGATTTATTTCAAATTCATTCTATGAGATTTTACAAATATATTATTTTATAGAGTTGAGATTATGAATCCATTAAAGTTAGACCACCATAGAAAACCTGGAAGCACTGGACGACCATTTCGTCCTATTATGGGACTCCTCAGCAGTGCGCATCCATGATCCCGTCTCGCGAGATCCGAACCCAGGTCCTACAAGTCTCGCGCCAGAGCACTTAATCGATAAACCACTGAGCCGGCATCCAACGGTGTTAATGTCTAACTTCAACCAATCCACGAAATTGAGCAACCATTCACCAATGTCATCAGTGAGTTACTATCTCACAACAGACATGGTTGAACTCCACTGGTTACTGCTTCTCACTAGAACTCCAGGAAATACCTCATGAAGCCAGTCACTAGTGAGCATATGATCATTACCAAACCCCTTCTGATAAATATATTCTTCTTATTTAATGTCTTACATCAACTCGGTGCCCAAAAAATACTGTGAAACTATTCGCTCTAATTTCGACGAAAGTTCTTATATAAAAATCGTATGTTTAACTACTTATCATGAAGTTTTCCTATACAACAATGGCTGTTTAAAATGTTGATTATCAATATGATTAGGAGCTTTTATTAGGTTGATACATTGGTTACTATTATTATTGTTATAATAGAATACTCAATAAATATTTCGTTAGGTCATTTAGATTCTTAAATAAGTATGTATACTTGACAATTACAATAATATTCATAATTTCATGATAAATTTATGTATAATTTAGTACTAAATAGAACATAGTAACAATCAATTAGTACAAAAATTGATAGATGAGTAAAAGCAATAAAATTCCATTCAAAATTGATCTTTGATAACTTTAATTTATAATAGTAAAATAATAACCATTATATAATAGGCTATTCATTGAGTTTAATTTTAAAAAGTTTAACTTGTTTTGTAGTAATGGTAATAATAATGTAATAAAGTAACATTTCTCTTAGAAACAAAATAATTTTTAATCAATAAATGTAAGTCATTTTAAATAAGGTGAATATTTTTAGAAATGAATTCATTATATCATTCGTATTAATCAAATTTGTTAAGAATTAAAATGGACTCAAGTTGATTATTTTGAAGTTGAAATCATGAATCAATTGAAGCTATACCACCATGGAAAACCTGGAAGCACTGGACGAGCGTTTCGTCTTATTGTGAGACTCTTCAGCAGCGCGCATCCACGATCCAACCTGACGAGAATCCAACCCGGAGCCTACCAGTCTGGCGCGCGAGTTCCTAATCTCTAGACCACTAGCTTGGCCGGCATGCAACGGTGTTAATGTCTAACTGCAACCGATCCACGAAATGGAGCAACCGTCCATCATTGTCTTCAGTGAGTTGATATCACGCAACAGACCCAGGTAAACTCCCTGGTTACTGTTTCTCACTAGAACTCCAGGAAATATCTCTTGAAGTCAGACACAAGTGAAGATCTGATTATTATCAGAAGATGTTTTTGTGGAGATTTCAGTAATGACTTCAAGTTGATTAGTTATTCATCTAGATTCATTTGTTCATTATGATAGATTCTAATTTTATCATTATTTAAGGTTGATATATTATTCTTCTAACTTAACTTGTTTTATTATACAATATAGTAATAATTGATAGTGTATACTTAATCATGTTATGGTTCCATATTACATCAGATATATATATATATATATATATATATTTAATTGAATCATTTGATGTTGTAAGTCTTGTAACTGTCTTATGTTTTCCCACTGTATAGTTTAGTCTTATAGTTGCAAATATTGATTAAGAGCAAGTTAAATCCAATGATCCCCAACACAATAACAAATAATTCATAATTACTAGTAACTATGGACTTTATATATCTTCTAAGAAGATCAAACAAACTGTATATTGTTATCACTTCACTGTATTCAATCCATTAATTATAATTTTGATAGATACCGGCAATTTTAAAGCAAGTATTCTACTTGGTTTAATTTAAAAATTTATTTAAGCTCATTAGAAAAAAGTAGGACATTTGAAGTAAAATAATGATATTATCTTTTGATAGGTTTGGTGGTATTTCCAGGCATGAAAATATTCATATTAAGAAATGTCTCCATCATTCGATGTTATTAAGTTATTCAGTGAAGGTATAACATACTGACATAATTGAGTCAATCAATCAGAATTATGATAACTCTTTATGTACTCTGTGCAAAATGTAATGTGCAGTGATAAATAACTTGTTTGGTATTATTATAATCAGAGGAATATTAAAAATAATTGATTCATACAATGCTCAAAATCAATAAAAATACCTATGATGCAGTCGAAATATCAATTTAAGATGGTGTTTTAGTTAAATGTCAAAACATATCTATTCCAAAGGCAATTTGTGTGTTAAAGTGCTTAATGTGATTCATCAGGAAGTCAAAAGTGCTGAGTTAAGTTAGGTAATATTGTTCCTTTCTAACTCTTCCTATAAATCTCAACTCTGTATTTCTTAAATTTATGAACAGAACGGTGGTAAAATCTTGCTTTATAACTGATGTCAGTTAGTAATGAAAACCTGAAGCTTTATTTGTAAACCTAACTCAAAAGTCCAGCCTCATTCCAAATACCTTAGCCCTAATCTATTCATATTATAACCGATGTCATGTAGTGATGATAACTCTATGAAGTAATAACTATAACTCTGAATACTATCTCAACACTTCATATGTAAACTTGATCCTTTTCCTTTACTACAACAATTAATCTGGCCTGTGAATTTTAATAATTCAAATCAAAACTGTTATTTTATTGCTTTCCATTGTCAACTATTCTGTAATTATGCAGTGTTTTCTGGTTGGCCGATAAGTTGCCGAAGGTGCTCAGTATATTATTCTTTCATTCATTAATCTTTCAAGAAGACAATGGAGACAGAACAACGTTTTGTTACAAAACAAATCAAGAAAATAATCATTTTGTTGCTACTGTTATTTAATGTTTGCATCCTAAAAGGGACAGTCATACAACATAAGGTTTATATCTTGATTGGTTGCATTTTATTTGTTATAATCTAATTGTGCTCATTACATTCACAGTTTATTATCAATGTTTATAATATCTAACTACTTAATCTTGTCAACAGATTTACTCTACATGGAAATAGAAATACCACAGATCATCATGGTTCTTACAGCATTAATCTAACCATGAATAAGAAACTTTCTGTAACAGTTTCAACAAAAAAAATCTGTTCATCATAGATCTTTTATTATAGCATAATAAAGAATTATGTAACTCACCTTAAATCTAATTATAATAAGACTAATTTTCTCTTTCTCTTTTGTTTCTAAGTAAATAGTTTATATTTATAAAAACATTATTATAATATAAATTACTTAAATTTTATTGGTCAACAACTAACTCGATACCAAATTATTTGTTTGTTTGTTTGTTTGTTTTTCTCCTTTTTAAAAAATGTTTTTTAGAAAAAATTTGCTGACTTCAAATACAAGTCAATAGAGTAGTTTGTTTAAGATTTTGCTTTTTTTTAAAAAAAAATTAAAAGTGTGTAGGCGTTATTTAAATAGTTTTAATTATGAATGAAACAAAATGTTTATATATATATATATAGTTGAAACAGTTTTATTCCAATTAGATCATCCTTACTTAATTTACAATTTTGTAATAGATTAGTTAACGTTCTTAATTAACTCCATCATTAGTTTTTCCATGCCAAATAAAAATCTTATGGTTATCAATAAATTATTGAGAGTAAAATGTGATCAGTGAAATTGTGAGGTCTGTTGTGAGATAGTAACTCACTGATGAAAATGGTGGATGTGTCACTCAATTTCGTGGATCGGTTGAAATTAGACATTAACATTGTTGGATACCGGCCGGCTCAATGGTCTAGTGATTAAGCGCTCGCGTGCGAAACTGATAGGTCCTGTGTTCGAATGTTGTGAGACAGGATCATGGATGCGCACTGCTGAGAAGTCCCATAATAGGATGAAACGGCCATCCAGTGCTTCGAGGTTTTCGATGGTGGTCTAGCTTCAATTGATTCATGATCTCAACTATTAGAAATTACTATAATATTCATATATATATTTGGATTTTGCTTAGATCTTAATGTTGATGTTTACATGGAGACTGGAAATCAGTACATCAAGTGGTCATTCATTGATCTATTGACTTTAGATAACTACTAACTTCTTTTATAAGTATAAAAGTATTAGAAAGAGATTAAATTTTTTTCTTATTTAAAGGAATGTCAAATATAATACTAACAACGTTTGACTGAAGGCTACGTCTAGTCAGTCAGATTAGAATGCGATTACGAAAACAGAAACTGATCAATTTTCGGTGACCGTATTTCTAACAAAACTTTCTGATACACTAAATAGGGTGTTTTTCTTTTAAGAACTATAATATTTGTTATTTTGTATTTAACTTAAAATCACACTATTGTGAACTGAAACATACAACATATTGTTAAGCTATATTGTTTGTATAGTTTATAGTGTTGAATATAGTGACAGTTTATTTCTAGGAGAACAGTTCCATTTGTCCTGCATTCACTGACTACTGACCAATACAGTTTTCACTTGCATTTTACCTTACATATATTACTTATCAATTTTTTGCCGTTATAATTGACTTCATTTAAAACTGTCAATTTGTTAGGTGTTCTGATTATTTGGACTTATTCTTTTTACTTTGGTTAAACACTGATGTAATACTTTTTTATAAGTCGATATAAATTGACGATTTGAAAGTGATTCTTCTTGTTATATAAAACGGTATACAGAAAGTCAATGTGGAAAACTTATCGTTTATCGTATGAATTGTTGCTTATTATGGTCCATTTTTAAACTTATATTATGCCTTACCAATTGTTTCATAATCTATGTGGCCATAAATAATACATGTGAGAAGTTCCTAGCGGTAAGTTATTCAGAGAATACGATTCATTTTAAAGTACGAGTACTCTTCTATTTACTTAACAACATCGCATACAATCATCTATTCACAGCTTAGCAGTTTTCTACGTGAAACGGTTTAGGGACAACTGTATTCGAACGTTAAATAGTTTCATTAAATTAACTAATCCAAGTAATTTTGAAAAAAACTATTGTAATGTTTTGATAGCTTCTTAATTTAATATTCTTTGAAAAAAACATTCATGAACTCGTGAAATTTCAAATAAGCTTTTCGAACCCTGGATAATCCGAACTCATTTAGTGAATATAACTATCAAAAGTGTTGTATTTTTAATACAACGATTGCTTACCATATCTAAGATTTAAACTAGAAAATCAGGAGCCCATAGGTAACGATTCTTAATTCAGTTCATAACAGACTTACAGGTCAAGAAAAAACCAATCAAGTAGTTGGTTCCAATTTTCCAACTAATCCTAGTTCTGTAGATAATTCTGAATTGCATAATGTGAAAACCAAACAATTAAAAAGGTCAGATAGAATTACTAATTAGCCGATAGTGCATGTTGCTTATGTAAAGAGATATTCCACGTATGATGGACATACTGAATGACTAATTAAGTTGTTTTACATTTTCTATTTTTAATAACTAAATATTTCTATTTGTAATATATTTTAAAAATATGCAATTCTCCTGATTTTAGTATTAAACTTCTTCAGTACTCACGATTGTTTATTAAAGTGAGGTTGCTTTATAACTAATTCTCATTACAATTCAGTTATCACAAATGGCGATAATTATCAAAACAGGAGACTATTTCTCAGTTATGTATTAGGCTTCAAGTAATCTACCAAAAAGTATGAAATTATACTTATATGTATCAGAAGAAATTGTTGTTAACTCTAGCAAATGAAAATTATATAGATGAGATACGTTTAAGCGGGTCATTTACTCTAGGCTACAAAAGGGTCATTATTAACCCATTTGATCTTGTCATTACATATCATAAACATTACCCTATCCCTTTCATTTAGATCTTTACTAAGCGTCAACTATAACACAGGGGAAATTATAATTTATGGACGAACCAATCAGATTTAAGATAAGTCTTAGATTTTGGTGCCAAATTCATTCATCCATATGGCTAGATAACATTTTGTCATTATAGATGATTTCATTTCGGAATGAAAACCCTAATTCTAATTCTAAACCCTAACATCCAAATTTAAATTCAAATCTTAATTCTTCATGCTAATTTATAACTTTTTATTCATTCTAAGCAAGCAGATGAACCTTCTAAAAGTCACCCCACCATCGTTTAAGGATTATCGATAAATTATACTCTCATCAATATTTGTAATAATTATAATTAGTATTATAGAATATTTCTTTTAAGTAATATTACAAATTTGCATACCATTTCAATTTATTAATTAGAACATATCACCTTGATAAACGTAAAAAAAAAGTATCATTTCTTCTTATTATTTCTTTCAACTCTACTAATTATGTATTGTATAAGCATACCTTAAGATTTGATTGGATTCAATAATGATAATAATAATAATTTTATTTAGTTTATTTCAATATGAATGAATTCAATTTAACCTTATTCTTTCTCCGGATATTTTCCAAAAACACTGATGAATATTATGTTTGCTGATTTTGTAGGTGTCAAAGTATATTAAAATGATTGGATTATTTATAATTACAGTAAGATAATTAATATTTAGATATTGGTTACTTTAAAACATTATCTATTTGAGAATATTGCTATAACTCTTAATACAATACTGGTGATGTATCAGTTAGTCAGTCAGCTACAACATAGGACCAGGCACACATTTGCATCGGTCCAACTTACCATACCTCATTAGCACAACAAGATGAACACCGGATTCATATAAGTAGTTAATTTAGTGGTGGTAATATATAAAAGAAAGGTTGTATATAAGGATAAAGTATAAGAAGAAAGACAGATATGAAGCAATTTCAATCTCAAGGTTTAAGGGAAGATAGTGTATACACCTGCGCCATTGTAATCGATTCTGAGCCATGTCACCTAGAGTCTCCAACGATTGGTTACGATAGTCACGCTGACCCCAACCAAGTAGTCTGCATCTACCAACATGGCTCAGACTAGAAGTTAGTGACTTCAAAGACTGATGTCAAGTTTTGGTTTGGCCGCTCCTAACTCTCTTCCAACCATCCCCAATACTAGTTGGCATAGCGCGTCGTGGTAATCGGTATCCAGGCATACGTAAAACGTGGCCTAACCATCTCAGTCGATGAAGATTCATGATCTCACCAACCGATTTACCATCATTCCCTAATACCTTGTGTCTAACCTCACTATTGCTACTCACCCGGTGATCTTGGCAGATGCGTGCAATATTTCTAAGGCATCTGTGGTCAAATACTAGTAAATTACGAGTATCTTCTACTCTTATTGGCTGTATAGATTCAAGTGTCTTGGATACTTAACTAATAGAAATAGGTTCAGATAAGATCCAAAATGATCAAAGACGTTTACAAACTCAACACTTTTCCTAAATCCACTCAAAGTTACCTTCTTCGGTAGGTAAATAGCAGTAATATTCACGTTCTACAGATGATTTTTCATCGTTCTAACAAACGGTTTGAACAGCCAATTCATTCAGACAGTGTACTGAAAAATAGTTCTAGAATTAATACAATTTTGTTGCGAGAATCTAGACACGTAATTTTTGTTTCGTTTAATCTTATGCTAGTCGAACAGGTAATTTGGAAGCTCAATATGACAAACTTTATGCTATTTGGTCTATTAAACGAATTGATAAACACTTGTCTGAAATAAAATTCACTATAATTACAGATCATAAGGCTCTAAAGTTTATTTATCCTCCTGAAAAGTTTTAAGCACGTTCATCAACTGCTATGGTTCAACAACGGAGTACTGTCGTCAGTACTCATGAAATCCGATACAGTAGTATTAGAAAATGTTTGCATAAGGGATTCACATCTCAATATGAGTTACAAGATAAACCTATATATATTCCAAATTATTCATTAGTGAACCCATTACCTTTAAACTATTCAAAGTTGATTGAAGGAACTCATAGATACCTTGAGTGTATTCTATATATTAAGTAAAGCTTAAAACTATCTTCTCAAACTCACATTCCAAGTGTATTATGCTAAATATGACGAATAATCCATCCTTTCTGATAGCAATGTGTTGACGCAACAGTGTCATTATCATACTGTCATTGCGTAATTTAAGAATCTATAATCTTTATTGTTGACATCTGAGTGTTGATAAATAATGTTTAGTCGGGTTTGTACGTTGACGTCCAAAAGTTGATGCAAATATGAATTGTACAACAAAGAACTATAACACATCATAAATAGAAAAGCTATCCACTAAAGCGGAATTCTTAATCTTTTCAATCCAATGGCTTTATAGAGAACTTATACAACTGTTGTTGCTGTCCGTTTTTTTCAATTTAACAGGCTAACAATATAAAACAAGGAGAAATTTAATAACTTGATGATCTACGGAGAACAATCTTATGCTTTGAAGAATATTGTTGAATATTCAAATGTAGATAAAACGGGATTTCTACGTACTAAAAGTACACATGATGCATTTTATTCAATGTATATAGAAAAATGTTGTTTTACAAAGATTATAATCATACGTTCATTAATCATACCAATAATGGTACTTTGTGTATAGAATTCAATAATTATAAAATATACTTTAATTATTTACTCATTCGGTTACATTCAGAAGTACTGTTTATGTTAGGAATTATTGTTAAATAAATATTTTTATAGTTCTGTTTAAATTTTGTATCTTCAAAAATTGAAAAGGATAAAATTCAAAAAATTTATCAAGCTTGTACAAGGTATTCACATACATAATTATTTACATTGACCTCTTCACACCACCATGATTTGTCTTTTTATACTGCTTATTGATTGGCTTAATTGAATTTAAAATAATTTTACGCGCTTGTTCGTTTACTATATCCTTTATTTGCGGTGTCATAAATAATGGCCATACATCGGTCTAGAGATATGGGAAATAATAAAAAAATATTCAGTTTATAAAACTACTGGTCTCTTTTCGTATTGAAACTTAATAAGAATAACTTTAGATTGTTATAAGAAATAGAATTTAGTCAATAAATACATTTCATCCATGGGGTTGTGGACTGATTGATTAGCTAAGCGAATCCAAACAGATCATACGTTGCTATGACTTCAGAGAGATCACATACTATTTTGGGGCTGCACGATACGTAAGAGCTTCAAGTATACGTAAGCTTTGTTAATGAGTAAACGTTATTCACCTAGCTGAGATCACGGAGCACAAGTCTCAGTCTGAATCAGTCTAGTGTCCATCATTTTTAAACAGTGTGATTTAGTCTTTCTTTTAAAGCAATTTGACCATTTATGCTTCTAATATCTGTTGAGCCAAGCTTTAGGAAGTATATACTGTGATTGAATAGCATTGAAGATTATAACAGAAATACTATTCCTTTTTCCAAAGTAAATTTCGTCTAGTGAGAAGTTTTCAACGTGTCATTCAGTAGTAATGTAGTTTGTTCACTTATCTTTTACGAGTCTAATTAGTCACAAATTAGCTTTACATAATGAACTGTTAAGTACAATCACTTAGATCCAAATTAATAAAAACCATGACCTCCTTATTGTGATTCTTATTTTCTTCATTTCTAAGCTAACTTGCATCTAACAATCATAGCTTAATACCACAGAGGTTTCGTCTATAAACTCTAATCTAGTTAGTCATATGTTTGAATCATAGGTGATAAGAAAAGTTGAGGTTAATTTAATTAAACACTGATTGCCCAACTTTTGAGTTGAAAGGAATACATCACTTTAAGTAGAGTAGTTGCCTAAAGAGAATGTGTATGCCTAATTTATTACTCTTGCTGGTAGTCTATTGATGATTATCACTCCTAAGAATTTTGTCTACTCCAGATATATATAGATTTTCGTTTAAAGTAATTACATTTGATAACATTTGATGGATATGAAGTTCAACGTGAACTCCCTGTCTTGCTATCGCAGAACGCAAAGCATTTAAATGCAATTGTCCCGAGGAATAGCAGGGAGGAGCAGAACATTCTTTAATTAGGTGTTTGATGAAAATATTTACGTCAAAGTTTTGAAGGGGGTGGTTATTATCTACTGATACTACCATGTGATTATCTTGCAACACTACTTACTGAATGTATTCAAGAAATAAGCAACTGTGGGTTATGAATCAGTGACTAAATGAAATCATATTTGACGTGTAGAATAAGTACACTGATTTCATCTCCGTACACTGCTACAGAACAAGTGTTTGTAGTTTTAGGTCAAACTGACAATGGTGAAATGATCATTGAAAGCTGGTAGGCTCTTTACAACTTCTTTGTTCTAGTATGAGACTGCTCAAGAACATTTATATATTCTCTGACATTTCCACAGGGACAAAATAAATTGTTTTTTCCACAGACATAATATGATTTTTAGCCGTTCCTTTTCATCAGTCATATATTATATTTCACTTCATAACAGTGACTCAATTTAGCTTCCTGAGAAATAAGACTATCAACTACAACGTCGACTGATATATGTTGTCTTTTTTAGGTTTCTAGAATTCCCCTCGGTATATATATATATATATATATATCAGATATCTTTTGGATCGTTTTATCATATTTTATGAATCTTTTACCTGAAAATTTGATTTTCGCAAGTTTTGAACTGAACTATTCATACAAATACCAATGTAGTTGTAGTTATGTATATTTTTTTGAAAAAAACACAGTCAACTTTCTATCAGGTCATGTTGAAAGTTAAAGTAAAATTACTTACTGTGTTTTGATATAAACTGCATTTATTAGTTGGTTTATACTTCGACTTTAGCGATCGCTTTATTGGTTTGAATCCAAAATCTGTATGAAGCTTCGGACTAGCAATAATTATTAATAATTGTTCATTCATTCTAATATTCTCATGATCCAGTGGAATATATTTGAGAGAGGCTTTCATATCATGAATTAAATTTCCTGAACAACAGCTTACACTTTCGAACCATCTGTGATAATTCATTTCGACAGGTAGATCAATTACCTGAGAAAAATAGAGACAGTATTATTTATTTAAGTTGATAGAGAATATTGTAGATATATGACATTCATTTAGTTTCATTTTTGTATTCAAATAAAAAAACGTACTACTGGTTTTGAATAAGTAGCTCAATTTCAGTGTAAACGCATACCAGACTGGTAACAATACTTTAGGAAAAACTAGACCAGAGAAGGCAAAGTAGCCACTAATAATCGCGAAATGAAAAAAATTGTTTTCTAATTACAATTTCTAGCAAACACCATGAAGACTTCTTCGTATTTGATGCATATACTATCACTTCTTCAGTAAGACAATTTACTGTCAATCAACCTCTTCTGTGTTATCTATCCCTAATTCATCATCAACTTAATATATTAAAAAACATGACATTTTATGGCATTTCAAAGCGATTGGACGTAAATCAGTTTCAAAGTTGGTTTAAAAAAATGTAATTGGCTAACGGAGAGCTCAAAATCATTTGATTATTAGCGTGAAAAGTTGCCAACATGATCAGAGTTCCAGACTGTATTTAAAAGATTTTGTTTGGATTAAGTCAAACAAAATTAACTCTGCTTACGTCCCACTGAATATTGAAACCGGCATCTAATAAATCTTTAAACAAAGATCTCATTTCAATAGCAGATTGTTCACATTGTTCATCATTGAATCTACCAATCCAATTTTGAAGTTTCTTGATAATCAGTAATTTCCCTTCAGCTTTTTCAAGATTCTTTAAAGCGTGTTCAAAGAATTCTTTCTTCAGACCAAAACATTCATATATAATGATTTTATCATATACATTTAACTTTAATGTTTTCAGGTCATTCGAATGATGACTTTGATATTTATTGTTAGCCAAATACTTTGATATATTCTCTTTACTACAATCTAATGAAATTCTTTCAATAAAACATACAGAATCCGTTTCATTTAACTCTCCATAAAAGTAAATAATCTCAACAATTTCCCTAGCGTATGCTTGCCAAGATCCCATTAATAATATTTCTCATAAGTAAAATGAATTCCTTTGTAATTCAAAGTATAAAAATACTTTAGTTCGAGAGTATTGTTTATCATCAGCTTGTTAAATATATCTTTATTGATTCAATAATAGTTTAGCTTAGTAAAGCCAATGAGAATTGATTCATATGACAGATTCTATCACATTATTTTAGTACACTTATTATAATGGGATCTGTTCGTTTTCTTGAAAAATAGTCTAATAAACCGAAAAGTTTAATTTTTTAGTACAAATATCTAATATTACAAAATGTTAGAATAAGAAAGCCAAGAACCTTTTCTTTACGGATTCACAATTTGGAGAGACGAGAAACAAAGTAGGAACAAACCTGGAGTCAGGAAAGATTTAAGATCAGTCGTCGTAATAAACCACTTTATTTTAGCCATGATAAACATCGATGGGCAGGGGAAACAGTCTACAAATCAAGAATGTCTCGAACGATCTAATTACTAATTTGAGATGTAACAATCAATCCAAGTAAAAGGATAGTGCTAAACGTCATTTAAAAATAAAACAAAACAATTGAGAGTATTTTGAAACGAATGGAGTTGTGAGTAGGTAATTTAAATATGATGCTTTCGTAAACACTATAATTATATTACATTTGTTATTTTCATACCGGATAGTCAAAGATAAACAAATCAAATAAGAACTAGAACACAAATTTTCCTGAGTATGTATTTTGTACCTGTTTGCATATAGCCAGAAGGTACTTTGTGTACTAGAGGAGCATGAAGAGTACAGAGAGTGAGAATGGCTGGAAAAGAGAATGAAAGTAGAAAAGATGAATCGACGATCTAGCTGCAGGGATAGTTAAAATAGACTTACTTTGTACTCGATTATCACTATTATAAGCATTTCTTCAAACTATTCTCATAATTTGTGTAATGACCGTCACTGACTGTGAAATTGTTGTCTAAAAAACATATCATTTGATATTCCTTCCGTTTTTTTTGAATCCCCCATAACATGGCACTTTGATTATCGCTTACAAATACACTGTTGCACACGTGCTTCTTGTTTTTAATTACCCACTGTTACGATAACAGATTTCTAATATGCCAGCTGTCTAGGTTTACAAATCATAGTAATATCCTTATTACATGCTTTATCTGGATATACGTCTTAGACCATATTAATTATAGTTGGAATTACTAACTATTTATAATTGTGGATAACATGATCATGAGAAACTCGAATATGCATATTCCTGATAACTTAAGCAACGCCCCGTATATTTTTGTGTATATAATTTATATTGGATATATTAACACATTAATTTTCTTTCTTAATAACTTTGTCATTATTTTTGAGATTGATATTTTTTGATCCACCACACTGCAACCGCACATTATTTACTGTTAAGTTTATCTTACATTGTCCCTACTCACTCTCCTTCCACTCCTTTAGTTATTGTTTTATACTACTTATTTATATTCAATAAGCAGTTGTATCCTTCACGCTTTCCACATTTACATTGTAACGCAAGTTGTACTGTAACATTCGGAAACGTTCACATATATTTATAATGTTTATTGCACATATCATTGTATTTGTCATTATAATCACTGTACTTTGATTACTGTAACGGTTATCCACAGTTGTGTATTTGTTTAAATGTAACAGTTTCCATATCGTTTGCTCCTGGTTCGAGTTTCGATTGCCCATAAACTGTTGCCCAATTTTTCGACACAGCTATCGGCTGTCTTTGTACTATCGAAGACTTTGCTATTTTCATTCTTGAACGACGCGTTTAAACGCCTAGACACCTCACAAGTTGAGACAAATCGTTATCTTGGAACTTCGATTTTGCGCGGATCTCAATCAGGTCACCTGGACGCTTCGATAGAATTAACAGTTCTCAACTTTGGTCTCATTTTGTGTGGATACAGTTCTGAACTTTGGACCTAATTGGTGAAAATACATGCTGTAACGAATTTGGTCGGAATCAAGTTTGGTTCATTCATCCCAACGATGACGAGAACGAGAAGGATGAAGTACAACGATGACGATTCCCAAGACACAGACAATTCCAGTGGTGAAAATATTATTCCTTCAATTTCTAAGGTGAATCCACCTTCTTCTTTAAATCTTGCTCTTGATAATGTTCTACTTAACCCCAAAAACAGCTGTTCTGTAAGAGACTAGATGTAGCATAGAAGACGAAGTAGTTCCTAGGAAAAATGAAAAAAGAAAAGATTGAGTTGGAGATTAGAGAACTTCAACTACGCAAACGATTGTTAGAGCTAACTCCAAACTCTTTAAGCCAAGTGAGAAAAGCGAAAGAGACTAACGAGTCATTTGGATCTCGATCTGTGGACGTATTCCCAGCAGCCTCGTTAAGGCGTCGGTATACCAATGCACATTTGAGCGAAGAGGTGCAACTCAAAGCACAAGTGGATAGTATCAAGTCACTATTTATGACAGCCAGTTTACCGAAAATAGAGGTCATGAAATCTGATGGAAGTCCTTTGTAATTTTGGACGTTCGTAAAAGGATTCAAGGCTAACATAGCCGACAGAGTAGATGATGATACTCAGAGATTAATGTATCTGATACATTATAGTGAAGGCCCAGCTAAGGGTGCTATAGAACACTGTGTTTTATTACCAGAAGAAGAAGGTCATACTGAAGCAATTAACATTCTACACAAACAGTTCGGCAGACCACATGACATCGTAGAAGCGTTCTTAACAGAATTGTTAAATGGAACACCACTAAATCAAGACGATGTAACGGGACTACAGAAACTAACGAGACTCATGACCAACTGTAAGTTAGCCTTGTCACAGATGGGCAGAAATGCCGATCTGAATTGTTCGACTAATATAAAACGAATAGTGAAACAATTAACACGAGGTATACAGTTTAAATGGGCGGAAGCCGTAGACGATATTTTAAGGGACTAGAACCCAATTTTGATGATTTGTTGCAATTCTTAGAAAAGAAAGTGTCCATTGCCACGAACACTTACGGACGGTTAGCAAGTTGGAGTTACAAAGCTCAAACGACGTCGAACAACCGGTCTGCTTCTACTACAGCTAAGATCCATACATTGTCGAGTAAAGAAAAAGTTCATTGTGTAATTCGCTCTGATACCCACGAAGTCGTATCTTGCCCATAACTGCTACCAGTAAATCACAACGAAAGGTTAGAATTACTGAAGAAGTTTAAGCTTTGCTTTAGTTGTTTAAAACCCAATCATCGAGCAAAGAACTGCCGACAACCCATGTTGCGTGAAATCGATGGATGCAAGCGACGTCATCATAGAATTCTCCACAACACAGAACCTGACGCTAAACAAGCATGCTGTAATTCTACTTCTTCTACTGGAACGTATTTGGAATTTGTACCAGTCAGGTTTCATAGTCCCACAGGACATGTGGATACCTATGCATTTTTGAATAATGGCTCAGACTCGACACTATTGCTTAGTGATGTGGCAAAGCAGATAGGAATTTCAGATACAGTGACAAGATTGTACATATCTTCTGGAAATGGAGCGTCATCTCAGAACGCTGAACTTACCAATATCGAAATTGAATCTTTAGATAAAACTAACGGGATAAAAATCGAAGGTGCATATACTATAGATAACCTACCTATTAAAAGGTCAGAAATCCCACCAACGAACTTCCAAGAAAGATGGAAACACTTGAATGGTGTACAGCTACTCACCATAACCTGTGACAAGGTCGGTTTGTTACTCGATGTTGACGTTCCAGAGGCTCACTGGGTCATCGATCAGCGTATCGGGAAACCTAAACAACCCTTCACCTCGCTAAGTATGTTGGGATGGGCTTTATTTGGACCGACGGGTCAACTTAATAAAACTTCAGCCTTCATAAACTGTTTAGAAGAAAAAAAATTCCTTCGAGGGGGATATTCTCAAATTATTTGAACATAAATTTTTTGAAAATAAGTACTCTGATAAGGTTGCCTTGTCCCTATGTGATAAGACCATTATGGAAATTACTGACAAACAAACAGTATTGCTCGATGGACATTATCAAGTGCCGATACCCTGGAAAATGGATTGGCACTCACTTCCAAGGAATAAGCTCGAAATAGAAAAACGATTCATTTACCTACGTAAAATGTTACTAAAAGACGAACAGCTTCGGAAACAGTATAATATTATATTAGCTACCCACGAAAGTAAAGGATATTCGTCTCGAGTAACACAAGAGGAAAGGTATTTTATTCCACATCATCCCGTGTTTAACCCTAAAAAACCAGGTAAAGTTCGGATAGTCTTTGGTCGTGCTGCTAAGTTGCAAAACAGGTCTCTAAATGACTGTATACATTCTGGACCAGATCTTACAAACGACCTAATGAGAGTTTTGCTTAGATTCAGAAAGCATAAAATTGGACTGACAGCAGACATCGAAGAAATGTTCCTCCAGGTACATCTACTTGAAAAAGATACAATGGCCTTCAACTTTTTATGGTATCCTGATGGTAATTTTGACTCTTCTCCCGAGGTCTATGAGTTGCATGTACACCCTTTCGGGGCTGCGTCCTCACCGTTTTGCGCTACTTATGCTTTAAGACGTACAGCTGCAGACCACCGAGATTTGTTCGATGAAAAAACACAGTCCACCTTACAAGAAAATGTTTATGTAGACGATTGTCTTGTCTCAGTAGAGACAATATCTGAAGCCGCGGAGTTAGCAATTAACCTAATAAGACTCGTAGCGCGTGGAGGTTTCCGTTTACATAAATGGGTTATTAACGTAAATGAAGCGCTGAATGACGACCCTATAGGCGATAGGTCAAACAATTTGGTTCGTATACCAGGTTCAACAGAGCGTGCACAGAGAACTTTAGGACCTTGTTGGCACACGCAATCCGATTGTTTTGCATTTGACGTAAATCTCCCATAACGCTCAATCACTAAGAGAGGCATTCTATCATGTGCATCATCGTTATATGATCCGCTTGGATTTTAGCGCCTTTATAACTTACCGCTAAACGAATTCTGCGACAGCTATGTCGTAAAAACTATGGGTGGGATGAGATGATAGATGAGAAG